AAAGCAAGAAACTTATGGCTAGAAATTATTACTATATCTTTCTATAACAAAGATTATAAATAAAGTTGAGGAAAGAAGACAGAGATGAACTTGTTCTGGGGAATATTGAGGTTTTATAGGAATAGCTAACAAAGGAATGCATGGAGGGGTAACCAGGCACTCATAGGGCTATATATGGAGTCCAACCCACAAAATTGTAGTCACTGTACAACTGCCCTCTACATTTCCTCTATGATAAATTATACCCTTCCTCCCTGCATATGGCGTCTATCTCTCTGGAATATACACTTGGTTGTAGACTCTAGTGATGATATGGTTACTGCAAATGTAGCTTGAGGAAGACCAGCAGGGGGATGTCAAATTACATAACTGCAAGCGAGCTCAATATGCTTGAGATTTACTATCAACTGGGTGGTTACGTATAGCTAGATAGGTAGGGTCCATCTCAAATTAAGGTACAATCCAGTGGAGTTGGATTATTGTCCCCACTATCTTCATATCTAGTAGTTTTTTCCCGTCAACCACAGCTAGATATAAGCTGTACTATGTAATAGGTGCATGGATATTTGCTGAATCTTTATCCCATACTTATAATTTGTCAAACATAAATCGTATTCCTCATGGATAACTCCACATACTCTCGCTATACATATCCACATTTATATATAATAGGCGCTCTGGGCGTGAAACAGAAAAGCAATACGCCCAAAAGAGACAGATATGTGTATCTTTTCAATTCCTACCGTTCAACAATTCGATAAATCGTGCATTTAATAAGTTTATGGCTTGACACAGTGTGAGAATAAGCAGCCTTCCGAGATCGGGAGTATATGATAACGAAGTTCAGTCAAACCAAAGCTTAATTGAGATTGTCTATTCTCCGTACAAATGTCAACATGATATATAATATAAAACATAAGTATAAAGTGTATGGAGATAGTGGATCTCGGAAAATAAAGAAAATAATAAGAATGAGTAAACCTGCCAAGCATATCTTGATCAGCCCGAGAGCCTCTTTGGAGCCGGGGGAACCCGATATCCCCACATAGGTAGATCCTTTCAACACAAGTTTCACCGGTTAATATACGTCTAGTGTCTAGAGTCTATTGTCTAGAGTCTATCCCTAGTGTCTATCCCTAGCAGCGCGAGTTTGCCGACTAAATTCTTATCTATATTCTCCAGCCAATCACAACCACCAAACCATAAGTATCAGAGCTAAGTAGAAGGGTGACTGATAACAACCAGCACCAACCAATGACCGACCGTACGTATACCCCTGGTTGAAACCTTTTTCTTCACATCAAAGTGACTTTTTGACATCTTTGCGTAGTGCTCCATCAGGATGTTCGTGCTCCAATTCTAGTGGCGTACTCCGCACTCCGTACCCAGACGGCCCGTATCCCTGCCTTGCGCGCCATGGCATTACGAGAGCATGCTGCCCTTATCTGGCAATCAAAACGCTGCATCCCTATCTAAGCTCAGATCAACCTTGGAAGGATCATCATGCTGTGTTTGAGGTGCGAATTCGGAGCTGGGGTCCGCACCATGCATTTGATGCTGTGCGTCCGGCCCTATATGAGGTTGGTATCTGCCGGGTCTGGGGAGCTTGCATACAGTCAATATTGGAAAGGTTTATAAGACGTACTTTCCAAGTCAATTGGAATATTAGTCACTGATTCCTAATTTGAGGCACATTGCCAATATCTTTCACATTTATCCCTCTGTTGTCGGATACAAACTCTTTCCAAGTCCCTGGTTATTCACGTCTACGACATGTCGTCTGACGGGGTTATTTTCACGGCGCCCTTGTCACAGAGTTTTGGATATGGAATTATTCTGGGACTAGGCTTTGCCTTTGCCCTGCTCATGATCTTTATCACTTGGGCATTGAAACGGTGCGTCTCTATACCTCAATAGATACCAGTCACACGAGCTGACAAAATATCTCCATACAGTTATCAGAATGAAGTCCAGACATCTGAGATGTTCTCAACTGCAGGCCGATCCGTAAAATCAGGACTGGTTGCTGCCGCCGTTGTCAGTAGTTGGACTTGGGCTGCAACCCTTCTCCAGTCATCTGCAGTTGCATACCAATATGGTGTCTCTGGTCCATTTTTCTACGCATCAGGTAAGTTCCAGCTGTATGAGTATGATATGGAAAACACCATATCTAACATGTTGTGTGTATCAATAGGCGCCACTGTCCAGATTCTCCTTTTCGCAACGATAGCCATCGAGCTGAAACGCCGTGCGCCGAACGCGCACACCTTCTTGGAAGTTATCCGCGCTCGCTATGGAACCATTGTACACATTGTGTTTATAGTCTTTTGCTTGATGACAAACATCCTGGTTACTGCGATGCTGCTCACTGGTGGATCGGCCGTGATGACATCCTTGACGGGAGTGCCCACTGCGGCAGCCTGCTTCCTGCTCCCAATTGGCGTGGTACTCTACACTCTCTTCGGTGGCATTAAGGCTACTTTCATCACGGATTACTTGCACACTGTGGTAATTCTGGTTGTCATCTTCCTCTTCGCCTTCTCCGCTTATGCTACAAATGCCGAGCTGGGATCTCCATCAAAGGTGTATGATGCGCTAGTTACAGCCTCCAAGCGTCACCCTATTGAGGGTAACGCAGAAGGTAGTTATCTAACTATGCGCTCTAAGGAAGGTGGCATCTTTTGGATCATCAACCTAGTTGGAAATTTTGGCACAGTCTTCTTAGATAATGGCTACTACAACAAGGCTATCGCTGCCAGTCCCGTCCATGCATTCCCAGGATACGTTATTGGCGGCCTCTGCTGGTTCGCAATTCCCTGGCTATGCGCAACCACAATGGGCCTCTCTGCACTGGCACTAGAGGGCCCGCAGCGCTTGAGCTCCGGCGACGTGTCCGCCGGACTAGTACTCCCCTTCGCAGCTGTCAAGTTGCTCGGCTATAGCGGTGCCGTAGCTACAACCCTGATGATCTTCATGGCTGTGACATCCGCGTTCTCAGCGCAGCTGATCGCCGTTTCCTCGATCTTCACCTACGATATCTACGCGGCCTACATCGACCCCGACGCCAAGGGCAAGAGACTTGTCTGGATTTCGCACATGACTTGCATCGTCTACTCAATCATCATGGCAGGCTTTGCGACAGGCCTCTACTACGCCGGCATCGGCATGGGATATCTTTACCTGCTGATGGGCGTGATAATCTCTTCTGCAGTCTTCCCCGGCGCCATGACCCTCCTCTGGAAGGACCAAAACCGCATCGCAGCAGCCTTATCACCACCCCTTGGTCTGGCAGTCTCCCTCATTGCCTGGCTGGTAACCGCAAAGAAACAATACGGAGTCCTAACCGTCGAAACCACTGGCTCCAAGTAAGCATTCCCCTCCCATCATCCATGCTGCAAACCTGAATCTAACAAACCACCCCAGTTACCCCATGCTAGCCGGCAACGTCGCCGCTCTTCTCAGCCCACTAGTCTTCGTCCCAATCTTCACCTACGCCTTTGGCCGACAGAACTATGACTATGAATCAATGCGCGCAATCCGCAAGGTCGATGACACAGATGTCGCCGCCGCCGCCAACGTCGACCTCGAACTAGTTCCAGGCGAGGCTGGTCCCACGCAAGCCGAGAGCGAAGAAGAGACACGCCTGCTCAACCGCGCGGCACTATACGCGCGCACGCTGACAATCTTCATGGCATTTGCAATGCTCATCCTCTGGCCGATCCCAATGTACGGGACTTCGTATGTGTTCAGCAAGAAGTTCTTCACGGGCTGGGTGGTTGTTGGAATTATTTGGTTGTTCTTCACTATGTTTGGTGTTGTGGTGTTCCCGCTGTACGAGGGACGGTCGAGTATCGTTCGTGTTGTGCGGATGATGTCGCTTGATCTTGTTGGGAGGAAGCCCAAGGTTTACCGGGGGACGAGGACTGGAGCTGATGATGTGGCTACGCCTTCTGGTGTGGTGACGCCAACGGAGATGCTTGCGGAAAAGGATAAGCAGGGCTCGGAGAGGGAGCTTTGAGGATGGTGCTGGTGATACCTTTACTGGTGCTTGTTTTTGCGCCTTGCTGTTGCTTTAATATCTTGTTTACGGCTGTTTATACCCCTACTATTACTTAATTTATCTGAATAAAATAATCATTTTATGTATAATAAGGAATTTGAAATCTATTCACTGTGTGTTTCAATCATGATAGAACCATTTTGAATCCTGTCGCCCTAGTTCCCCCATCGCCTTAAGCCACTGGGTGCTTTCTTTTTGGGTTGTAACTCGTCACCCACCCCCAGCTACTGGAAAAATATAAATACCTGCCCCTTCCTATTTCTCTCTCTCTTCTTCTGTCTTCCCTTCTCAGCGCTCCAGGTTCCACGTTGCACATCGTGGTCCCTGTTGTCCAGTGAAGGTACCCTGAGGACTCTGATGGGATCTTTGACGCGGTCCAGGTTAGGCTGAAACTAGATTGGGGCCTCGGTCCTAGTCTAATGGCACGAAGTATGTTGTGGCCCGGAACAGACCCGCATGGGACTTAGTACCCCCACGACCGCTATGGATACAGACTGTACTTTCTTGGGTTCCCCATTGACCGATCAGGAGCCGAACACCCGTGCTCTTTGAGCCATCTTTTTTTCTTGCTTTTTACAGAGATAGCTCTCTGATGTCCAAGGATTTCCGAGACACTTCTTCTCTTCAATGCTGTTCTTTGTTGATAGTGTGGTTTCCTGAGGCTTTCCTGGTTGTTTACCTCAGGACCTTCTTGATTGCTTTTTCTTTTTACAACCATGTATATTCATTATGAGGAAGAAAAGATGCCAGACTGATCAAATAAGAAATTTGGGATATGATAGCAAAAAAAAAACAAAATAAAAACGTGCTTAACGCCAAAGGATAAATCTGCGATATCAAGCTAGAACATGCCTCTCCTGCTAAACCCCTCTTTCTGCCTCAAATCCCCGCAACAATCGCTGCGTCTTCATGCTAGTGGAATTTGAACATCTTTGGAAACTCATTTGTATCCAAGTCCACCTTGCGCTTGAGGCGGAGGCTGTAGAGGGGGCTGTTGCTGCCAGCCTCCTTGGACTTGGGGAGGCGGCTGGATGCCATATTGCATACCTGCTGGAGGTCGTGTATCAGGCGTGATGTCAGGCCGGTCACTGATACATCCATTATTAGTACATCCTACTAAGCCGATGGCACTTGATTATTTCTGGATGGAGCCTACCGTAGGTCTTGGGTGAAACGGCATGTGTAGCATTGGACCTCCTATATAGTGCGTTAATAGTAGAGCTAGGATGCGGTTGGTAGAAGTGCATTTACCTTGTACTTGTGGAAAGCGAGAGGAATCAATGGCTGCAGCGAGTTAAAAATTAGATATCTTGAGCTTTTTCTCAAGAAGATTTAGGCAAGCATGAACTTACAATAAAGCAAACCGTGAAAAACGGCCTGTAATAAGTATTAGTCAAGTTCAACATAATCTCCAGTGTTGCTCTGGTACTCTGGGGCAGGAACATACCATCGGGTGACACAGTGCCCATTCCAATGTTGGCCTAAAAGCGAAGTATCAATAAACCATCTGCAACAGGGTCAATAGACCACTGACGTCAGAACTTACAGTTGTAACAGTATGCGCGAACATGCTCGTAGCCCTCAAGCCTAGACGAGAACTCTGTAGTTATGGTTAATACTATCTCGCTCAATATTACCGGGTAAATCTGCAGCCTCCAGAGTACAGTTACCCGTCACTGGATATAACTTCAGGGACAGGGTCCACTCTGGTTTCTGGGTCGTGGGTCAAAACAACATTTGAAGACGACTTACCATGCGTGCCAAATGTAATACAGAAAGCCATAGTGAGAGTCAGATACTGAGAAGTCGGCACACAACTACCAAAGAGAATCAACCGAGGGCCGAGAACTATTTGAGGAATTGAAGGTCAATCAAAGACGAAGGCAGCTGCATTGGGGGTGTGGCGCTGTGGCTTGGCACGATCTTGGCAAGTAGCACGTGACATTGTATATGGTGGCGCGTGATTGGTTGTATAAAAGCACATGTGATTATCTATTCCAGCAGGGACCCGTAGTGTCGGCGATTATATATCCTTGGATACAAAGTACCTTTATGTACTTTGTAGTGTATGAAGCTTTACTGAAGGCCTAGACTCAGGCACGTATTTTTTTGCTTCTTTTACGTATTTTAGGCAGACGCGCTTAATTCACTCATGGTTGTTCACCATAGGATAACAGCCCCATAGACTTAATATTATTTGAAGACAAAATAATCGCTTGAAAACGCATTTCTCCGGATATCACCCCAACAACAGTGCAGCACGTCGAGCCTAGACATATCAATCGCATTTACTGGGTCTTGAAGAGCAGAATTGCGCAGTGGCCGAGGTAGAAGTAGATGAAATGCTTAGTCTCTGTTGATCATATGATTAGTGTCTGGTTGTTGACATGAGGGTTTTGGCATCCACAAACCATGGGTAACGAAGCTTCCAAAGTTACGGCCAACCACGCAGTGCCAGGTAGCTCCCTTGCGCGAATCGAACTGATGTATGGGGTTAGGAATGCGATCGGGATGGGTAGGATTGGCGAACCTCTTTCTTGATGTACTGAGCAATATCCTATAAATTGTGAGTATCACGTCCATATCCAGTGGTTGAGGAGCGCGCATACCTTTTCAACTCTGAACTTCTCAGTGGCCTCGATGGCTGAGGGGTAGGTTAGCCTTGTTCATCCAGGGTGCTCTCAATATTTCATACCAAGGGCAATAGCCTCCTGCTGCATATCCTCAGTCTTAAAAGTATGTCAGAATCAATTGATCACGGTTGTTTCGCATGAGTGTCCTTACCATGTCCACGGACTTGATCTGCGCTACACAGATAATTTAGCAATTAGTCACTGGACCCACGAGGGACGAACTTACCCTCCATAGGCTCCTTCTTCTCAGCTGGGGGAAGTGCCATTATTAGTAATTGCTGTATCAAAAAAACCTCGAAGGGGATTCGGTGATGCGATAAAAAAGAGATGGGATATGTTGTAGTGTAATCTCGCGATAACTTGAAGCGGCCAGCCCTGGCGGGTAACTTTATTGCCGATACACAAGTCAGACCGCCCATCAGACCGCCCGCGGCACTATGAAAGAAGAAAAAAAAGTTTTTCCCATCGGAACTTCAGGTTTTCACACTCTTCACCACACAATTCTAAAATGGAGAGTACCAGAGTGTTCGTGGGTGGTCTCCCACCAACATGCTCCAATGATCAGCTTAAGAAACATTTTGCAACTCGCTTTCAAGTCACCGATGCTCATGTCCTACCCAAACGTAGGATGGGGTTCGTTGGCTTCAAGAGCCATGAAGCAGCATTGCAAGCTGTGAAACACTTCAACAAGACATACATGAAGATGTCAAAGATCGCTGTAGACATCGCTCGTCCGGTATGTCGATTCTCATCTCTTATGCTTCAGCTACTCTCCTTTCGCCCGTGCACGCTGACCAATTAAGGTGGTCTTGAGACTGACCCGTATTATTGCAGATTGATTCAAATGACGCTGAGGATGCTCACCCTACACGAAGACGTGATACCACGAATGATAATGATGCATCGTTGGATAAGAATCTCAAGCGCAAAAGGGACGGCGATAACAAACAGGACCCTAAGCTACAAGAGTACCTCTCTCTGATGGGGTCGTCCTCGAAAACTCGGACTTGGGCCAATGATGATGATATGATCAAGCCGTCTGTGGACACTGTTCCCGTTATTAACCAACCTGCGCAGGAAGAAAAACAGACCGAGGAGTTGCCTTCACATCCTAAAAAGGCAAAGACTGAAAAGCCTCCCACGGTAACAGAGCCTGAGCCGATGGTAATTGACAAGAGTGAGAAAGAGGAGGTTCAGGAGATACTAGAACAGGACAACTCTGCAGAGCCTGAAGCGGAGACTGGACCTATATCTGATGCCGATTGGCTGCGGTCAAAGACGAGTCGTTTGTTGGGCCTTCTCGATGAGGAAGAGCAAGATGAGTTTGATCAGCATAAGGCCGCCGCACCGACCACTGCGCCGACCAAAGCTTATTCACCACCTTCCTCGTCTGGCGATGAGTCGCCACAGCGTGACGAGGAATCGCGCACTGTGGCTATTGAGAAAATTGCGCCCAACACGACTGACGTTGACAGCACCACCGAGGTAACACCGGATGATCCGAATATTGATCTTATTCGCAACTCTGCCCGTTTGTTCCTCAGAAACCTTGCATACGACACAACAGAATCGGATCTTCAGCCGATTTTTGAACGTTTCGGAAAGATTGAAGAGGTTAGTACTTTTCTTTTTTTTGGATTTTCAACTTCAACCCACCTTCCTCTCCCACCGGCTAGCTGGCTTTCAGCCTGCTTGCCACGAGTTCTCGTATGATGACTTTCCCGATAGGGACATCTGATGCAAATTGCATATGATGTTACCAGGACAAGATATTTTAGTAGATGCTTCTTGACTATCTGAAAGAGACCACTCAACCCATTTCTGCACATTTACACATTATATTCAATGACCTTGAGTACTAATTGGATATAGATTCATGTTGCTTTTGACACCCGCTCCACAACCAGCAAAGGTTTTGCTTATGTGCAATACGCCCATGCTGATTCGGCCATTGAGGCCTACCAGACCCTTGATGGAAAGCATTTCCAGGGCCGTCTTCTCCATATCTTGCCTGCTTCTGCTAAGAAGACCTACAAGATCGACGAGTACGAGCTGTCAAAGCTTCCTCTCAAAAAGCAAAGGGAGATCAAGAGGAAACAAAATGCCTCTGGGTCTTCATTTAGCTGGAACTCCCTATACATGAACGTGAGTTTGCCTCTTACCATGCATCGAAACATTGAGACTAATTTTTGATACAGGCCGATGCTGTAATGTCATCAGTGGCGGGAAGACTTGGAGTCTCCAAATCCGAACTGCTTGATCCCACCTCTTCAGAAGCTGCCGTGAAGCAAGCACATGCTGAAACGCATGTGATTCAAGAAACGAAAGCGTACTTCGCCTCAAATGGGGTTAATATTGATGCTTTCAAGGAGCGTGAACGTGGGAATACGGCTATTTTGGTTAAGAACTTCTCATATGGTGTCACAACGGCGGAGCTCAGGAATCTGTTTGAGCCATATGGCAAGGTCATTCGACTCCTGATGCCACCGAGTGGCACTATTGCTATCGTGGAGTTTGCGCAACCTGACGAGGCCCAAAAGGCTTTCAAGGGTATGGCATACCGCAAGTTGGGTGATTCCATCTTGTTCCTGGAGAAAGCGCCGAAGAATTTGTTCGATGGTTCAGTGGCTCCACGGGCTCTTGCTCCAGAGACTCGGGGCAAGGATCAAGGATTCTCAACTGCAGACACATTTGCTGCAGATGAGCCTGATGACGGCGTAGCAACCACGACACTCTTCGTAAAGAACCTTAACTTCTCAACCACAAATGAGAAGTTCCTGGAAGCGTTCCGACCTTTGGATGGCTTCATCACCGGCCGTATCAAAACCAAACCCGATCCCAAGCGACCAGGGCAGACCCTCAGCATGGGATTCGGCTTTGCGGATTTCAAAACCAAGGCTCAGGCCCAGGCTGCTCTTACAGCTATGAACGGCTACAAGTTGGATCAGCATGAGCTTCTTATTCGTGCATCTCACAAGGGCAAGGACGCGGCTGAAGAGCGGAGACGCGAAGATACCGCGAAGAAGGTTGCGGCGCGGAGAACGAAAATTATCATCAAAAATTTGCCCTTCCAGGCTACGAAGAAGGACATCAGGTCTCTATTCGGGGCATACGGACAACTTCGGTCTGTGCGTGTTCCTCAGAAGTTCGATCACACTGCTCGTGGTTTCGGTTTTGCAGACTTCGTAAGCGCTCGCGAAGCGGAAAATGCCATGGACGCATTGAAAAACACTCATCTCCTGGGAAGACGTTTGGTTTTGGAGTTCGTGAACGAGGAGGCCGTCGATCCCGAGGAGGAGCTCGCGCGCTTAGAGAAGAAGGTAGGAGAGCAGATGGACAGGGTCAAGCTCCAACAACTTACATCTGGCGCCGGGCGCAAGAAGTTCACTGTAGGAGGGCAGGAGGAAGAGTGAAGCCCTCGTCCCTTCTCCCTTTGACTCAGCCACGGCCATGGATTGGCTTGTTAACATCCCTTGCAGAGAAATGGTGGATTAATGCACCATGTACGATTACTTGCATACTCCCATAGTTACAATATGGAAATAAAAAGATACCCCGAATACTTCTGAACACGTTCTTTGCGGCTGTCAATTACCCTGCAGTCCCCAGTTCCTCGTGTACCTCGTGCCCTCTTGATCCAGGCGTAACTGTAACCCTACTTTGCCTTGCTGTGCAACGCTATCTTGATCTTCCCCACAAGTTCAGCTAAATTTCGCCTTGGATCGCAGGGTCGCTTTACCTAATTTAGCCTGCTCTTCTGATTAGTTGTTATACGCAGGACCTTTGTCAACAGAGATCGGCCAAGCCTGCATTCCGGTTGTGATGTCTGGCGGTGGTTGAGCATTCCACGTCCCGTGCGAGAAGGCACCGTCGTTGGACAATCAACATTCCTGCAACGCCATGATTGCCACTAATTATTGTCTTTTTTTGTTGATGCTGGTCCGAGCGATTGGTGTTCAAGTCCACTTCGTGCTGAACAAAATCTCCGACCCACTCATCACTGGATCGTGCTGCTGAGCATCCCTTGCTTCCTGAACAAGTTCCTTCATATCGAGCCCTTTCTTGACTCCTGATTTGCTGCGGCAAGGACGGCTTGCCGTTGGCCTTTGGCTCTCTGCTCCCCACACGGCGTCTGTGTGTGCGCAGGCCAGGACCGGGACCTACCCAGGAGTATGGACAAGGCGTTCGAGGGACGTAGGCCAGGCAAATCAGACCTGGCGGAACAATGTTGCTACTGGGGCTACAGAGCCCCCCTCCAAAGGGGAGTTATAGTTTCCTATAAACACCATCTTGCTCGCTCTCACATTCTCTTTCCCAGGTTCTTACATTCTCTTGACATCTTGCGTTCTTTGGGTCGTTGTTTGTGACTGAGCTGCGTTCTTTGTCAGGCAGTAAGCATTTGACGGTGCCTCTCAGTCCCCCTCCTCATCGGAATCTGTCATTCTTTTCGAGAAGCCCGTCCTTGGTACCCTCCCATGGCTAATGACTGGCAGCCCGAGTGCCTTATCACTCAGGACCAGGACCAGGACCAGGTATCGGCTCATTCTGATCGAGCTTTGCAGAATACTACTGGGAATGTCCAGTCTTATTCAGACCATTTGACTCATGCTGATATCACTACTCGCGAGGATCAGCTTCACCAGCTTGGCTTCAAGTATCCTCACGTTCCTCATCCTCAACCCTTGTCGGCGTCCAGCTTGCATCAGCAGCAGGTAGCGGCTCGGCTTCATCAACGGAAGCTTCGCAGGCTTCACTCCGTTGTACCCAACTCTCAATCTCGTCGGGCACGAAGCAGCTACCTCAAGTCCCAGAAGTACTTGGAATACCGGGCTCGCCCTCGTCGCGATACTGGGAAGGATGGAGAGCCGGTGTGGTCTGATGAGTTGGAGGATGCTTTCCAGCAGGGTAGGTTGATACCACTGTAGTGATGTTTTGATCAGAAGCTAACAACCGATTCCAGCCCTTGAGGCAAACCCTCCCATGGGTCGGAGAAAGTGGTCCGAACGGGGGAAGTCGTATGGCCGCAACGAGCTGATTGCCGAGTACATCTTCAAATTGACTGGCAAGCGAAGGACTCGCAAGCAGGTATCAAGTCATCTGCAGGTCCTCGACTCTTTCCTAAAGGGCGATCCTGATTGTGAGTTGTCAAAACATGAATGTCTACATCTTCTTTTGCTAATACAGTCTGTCAGGGGAGCGACTTGTTCGTGAGGCATCACCAGAGCGATCATCGAGTGTGCACGGCTCAGCACCGGCTCCCAAATGGAGAACGGCAGTGGAGCATCCTGCAGCATCCAGCCACTACGGCAGCCACACACATCCATCATACCATGACCACATGAGATCTATGCAGCCATATGCCGGAGATCTCCCGCCGCCACACTATACCCTTGGCTCCAATATGCAGGAGACTGCTGCTAGCACCATTCATGGCTTTAACTTTGACATGTGGGTTAGCGCTCCTCAGCAGGCCAATCGCATCGACAAGGCATTGCATGTATACACCCGTCTGCAGAGTGATCTGCACCACCTTGTCCAGCCGCCCATGCCTCTTGAACAAGTGAACGCTTGGCGGTCCTCTTTCCCTCAACTGGCTTCGATGGTAGATGACATCAACAATCCTATGGACTGCGATATCATTTTGCTAGAAGTGAACCTTGAGCTAATGGCCGACTTCCCTCCTGCGGGATCACGACTGGGAATCCAGCTTGACCTTGACTTTGGTCACCCTCATGCCGGCGATGTGTTGGGAGTCAGCCAGATGGATAACTGGACCTGCAGCACACACGTCTATGAAGATGGCCAGAGCCTCCGGGATACTTACCACGATCTACCCAAAACCCAGTCGACCAAGGTCAAGCCTCTCTTCGAATCCTCTTGGTGGGCTAAGCTATTCACCGAGTTGACCCAGGAGAAGCGTATGGCCGAAGACTCGGGAAACCCCCAAGCTCCGCGCGACGCTGACGAACATACCCGTCACTTCTTCCGCTCCTTGTCTGCAGTACAAGAGCTCCGTGCCACCTCACCCAACTCTCGCCGGCTTTCAAACCAATACCAAGGCCACCACGGTGATGAGAGCAAGCGCATGGCCGTTCTGGTGTGGAAGTTCCGACAAACCCGGCCCGGCGAAGTTGGCACAACTACTTGGAGACGACTAATTCCGGCGCCGGACCGGACTACAACCAATAGCCCGCGCCCAGTCTCCGGGGTCGATCTTCCTCCCCTCTCTCTGGATTCTATCCTTCTCAACAAACAACCCCACCACGGTGTTTACCAGGCCCCTCAGCCCCATGAGCTCATCCACCACCCGAGCCAATCTCACCCGCAATGGCCCATGTACCAATCATCCCACGACAACGTGGTTAATCTTTTTAATTCCTCCAACCATCTCGACTTCATGACATCCATCAGCAAAGCCGAAGACGGACTCAATGACAAAACCGCCGTCACCTCCGTGCTGGATTCCTTCTCCACCAGCCTCGCACCCGAGAGCATCCCATCCACAAGCCTCCACAGTTCCACCGGCGCACCAGTCATGCTTAACGTGCACGACCTCCCACTCTCCCACCCAGGAATGGGCTACACAATGAGCCACGACGCATCCCACTACGTCCCATCCCAACAGCACAGCGTCAGCATGCACGACAGCAACAGTGTGCTACACGGCTTCTTTGGATCCAACACGCAGCCGCTTGATGATCTCAGCCACGGCCATGCCTCATGGGGCGCGCACTCTACATCCATTCCCGGAGAGGTCGGCGCCGCCAACTACCACCTTCCTTACCAGACGGAGCACCACGGACCCGTGTCGCGTGAGTCGCAGCCACACCATTTCGACGGCCTCTTGCCCTCGGAGGACCTAATGGATAAGATCGTCGGGCGCATGTCCAATGGTTCCAGCATGCATGGGGCGGGCCCTGATGCGAGCGCGGGCTATGATAACGCCACGGGGGATGCGGTATAACGAGATATTTTTTTACAACCCCTTTTAAAGTAATGATAATTATTCCAGGAGCGGTGTTTTGTATTTTCTGTGATTTTCTTATTCTCTTCTAATGTTTTTTTTTTCTTCTATTTCTGCTTGTTTTTTTTTTTTTTTTTTGGTGATACATTGGGATATCAGGGAACTGGGGGGAGTTGGAATATGTCTCAGGAGTTTGGAGAAAAGCACTGAATACAATTGGAATAATAAAAATACACCAATTACTTTGCTTTCACTTGGCTATTACTATCACAACATATTCTCCGATGTCATAATATTTTTTCTCCCGGCTAAAGTCTTCTATCAACCACTTTAGCCGCAAAACACCTTTGCCGGTGGGGCAATTCTGGGGAATTTCCAGCAAAGGAGGCGAAAGACAGACCAATCGAGATATATTTTGTTGATTTAGCCTGGGATCTTTGTATTTTATGTCTCGTGTCTTTGAGGATATTTTAAATCTACCGGCGGGGTCCACGGGTCCATATATACCCCTCCATACCCCAATTCCTTGTAGGCTTTTCTTTTCCTTTAGATTTATTTAACTACACATTCACAATGGTTGCCCCTACCGTCAAGCTTAACAACGGCTATGAGATGCCCCTTGTGGGTTTCGGCCTCTGGAAGGTCAACAACGACACCTGTGCCGACCAGATCTACAACGCCATTAAGGCTGGCTACCGTCTCTTCGATGGTGCTTGTGGTATGTTCACACTCTCCCCAAAAATCAATCTCTAATTGGTACTAACGCGATTATTCCCAGACTACGGCAACGAGGTCGAAGCCGGCCAGGGTGTTGCCCGTGCCATTAAGGACGGTCTCGTTAAGCGTGAGGAGCTCTTCATTGTCTCCAAGCTCTGGAACAGCTTCCACGAGGCCGACAAGGTCGAGCCCATTGCCCGCAAGCAGCTCGCCGACTGGGGTGTCGACTACTTCGATCTTTACATTGTGCACTTCCCCATTGCCCTGAAGTACCTCGACCCCTCCGTGCGCTACCCTCCTAGCTGGACCACCGTCGAGGGCAAGGTCGAGGTCGCCAACGCCCCCATCCACGAGACCTGGGGCGCCATGGAGACCCTCGTTGACAAGAAGCTGGCCCGCAGCATCGGTGTCAGCAACTTCAGCGCTCAGCTGCTGATGGATCTGCTCCGCTACGCCCGCGTCCGCCCCGCTACCCTCCAGATCGAGCACCACCCCTACCTCACCCAGACCCGTCTCGTCGACTACGCCCAGGAGCAGGGTCTCACCGTCACTGCTTACTCTTCTTTCGGTCCTCTCAGCTTCCTTGAGCTTGACCTTAAGCACGCTAAGGATACCCCGCTGCTCTTCGAGCACGCTACTATCACCAGCATTGCTGAGAAGCACGGCCGTACCCCCGCCCAGGTTCTGCTGCGCTGGTCTACTCAGCGCAACATCGCTGTCATCCCTAAGAGCAACAACCCTACCCGTCTTGCTCAGAACTTGACTGTCACCGATTTCGACCTTGAGACCAGCGAGCTTGAGGCTATCAGTGCTCTGGACAAGGGTCTCCGCTTCAACGACCCCATTGCTGTAAGTTTGGTGTCTGTGGAGTATTTGCTATTAATACTGACTGTTTTTTTTTCTAGTACGGTCTTGGAATCCCCATCTTCTAAGCGTGTCCAGACTCAAAAGCACGGGAGACGGAAAAGATCCCGTGTCCAGAGAGGGAACTCTGGATATTATGACGATTTTTATGCCTTGGATAAATTAAATAAAAACATACCATTTTCAATTTTTCTTATTTCTCTTCTTCAGATCTTCCATAATAGCCAGAGTAGGGTAGGGTACAAATTTGAAGGGCGGGGTGAGGGACTAGGGGACGAGGGGGGTTATACTCGCAGATGGGGATGTCGCGCCTTGCAGAAAATTTTCAATTACCTCAATAGACAGTTGTAATCAGAGACCGAAGGAACAGCCGAAGTGTCTGAGGGAGCTGTGATAGGATTTGATAAGATGTTGAGTTGAAAATTGAAGCGAATTTGAATGTATACAGCTCCGTAGAACATAGATAGGCAAGGCGCCAAGAATTGCTGGTCTCGACGATCCGCCATTTTTCTCCGATGTCTCCGTCAACTTCCCAATAACACAAATCTCACAATGCTCTCCCCGACTTTAGCGCGGATGACCGGGCAGGTTCACATAACCGGATATCCCATGCCAAAGAACTTGGCCGAAAGCAAGCTGCTACTGAACGCCCTCCAGAAATTCGGAGAAGTATTAACATACCGCAACCTAAAGGTACGACATGCTCTCTCAATTACCATTTAGACAAGCCCTGATCTAACAATTCCCTTAGTATGACACTACCAACACCTCACCAAACACCAACCGCCCCATCGTCGCGATCTTTGAGACAGCCGACGCAGCAGACCGCGCGATTGCAGCTTCGCCCATAACCATTCCCCTACCGACATCCTCCTTCACCACCTCTAAATCTCACCCTCCAAACTCTATTCCCATCACATCAACTACCCCGACATCTTCAAATGCTCCCCGCTCGCTGGTCCTCGAAATCCAACACTCGCGCCACAACCATGCCTCCGCCCTCAAACGAAGCCCTTTCTACACCACCTACAATCTTTTCAAAAACAACCCCGTCTACGAAGATCTGATCAGCGAAGAGACGGGTATCCCACTCAAAGAACTGGCCGATACACTCTCGAGCAAGAAATATCCTATTGGCGCTGGCGTCAAATCTAATATCCAAGAGGAAAATCGGCGCATGGGCGCGACGAGTTTGGTGGATATGTGGAAGGAGGGGATGGGGATTAAGATTGAGAATGAAGGGCAGGATTCTAGTGAGAATGGACCTGGGATTGGAAATGTCGGTGGTATTAGGGAGCCTGGGGAGAGATTGGAGGACGAGAAGCGGAGTTCGGTGGTCTGAGCTGGAGACTTGGGTTGGGCCTTTTCTTGTTCCCTGGATGGTAACAAGAGAGGTAATACACTTTTGTTTTCTGGGCTACTGGACCTGAAACCGGATCAGCAAATCCAGCGGAAGAGGCGCTCCCCTTTTTTAGGCAGTTGCGTTGGCTGTGGGCTGAAGGCGCATATTTCCGTCTTGGAATCAAGTTCCACATTGGCGGCTTCCTTTGAACAACTTGCACTCAGAACCTGTTTGCTTGGAAGACTCGTTCCTTGGTCTGGTCTATTAGCCATGACCACCCTTGGGCTTCCTCAGTCCATGACATCTACATTGCCAAATGGATCCGATCATTCTGCCGGATAGATCATGCTAACTGAAGCAATTGGCTTGTCAGGTCACTAGGCAGGTCCTAGTGACCGTAATTGGCAGAGAGTCTACGAATAAGTGGACCAGGCGATCGTGGCAGGGAACTACATGTATATTACAGTTAAATTATGTATAAAGTGAGAATCGGGTTGGGTATGTGGCAAACAGAGTCAAAATAAATATTCGTAGTTGCTAAACGCTAGAAAGTCCGGTCGCTATCCTTCACATCGGTTTCCTCCTGTTCCCATCTGAGTAGTGGGCATCGAAAAGTTATCTTTGGCAAGACTCCTAATTTGAATCTGGGATAGGAATGGAACAACACGGAGCTACTTCATAGACAAGATGCTGAGGAGTCAAGATGTTCAGAAAGCTCATCGCAAGCGATCTTTGATCTGCAATTTGCACAATTTCCGACAAGTCATATATCTGACCCTCTTCTTGTGAGCCATCAGGGTCGCCGCAACTAGGCTGTTGGCTCTTGGGCATGATCAAGAAGATACAAAAAATCCTTGGCTTTGGCCTTTGTCTTTTTCAAAGCTAGTTAGGCATGGGTAGGTAGAAGAAGCTAGCTGCTGATCGTGGCCGAACCAGACTGTCTGCATTAGCTGGCTAGCTAGTTGTCGTAACATCCACGCCTAAGCTTCTGTCCAAGACGACTATGATCATCAATCAAGGCTGTAGGATCCCAGCTTTTAAAGGCCAGTTAAAGGTCCTCAGTGGATATGAGCTGGTATAATATGAAGGAGAGAAGATGTAGGGGGGATGCAGGGAAAAATGGACATCTTGGAGATAGTCGAGCGAAGCCGATCTCCTTCCTTTATTAGTGCGTGAAGGCTATATTTCAATATAAGAAATGTTTTAAGACCTCTGTCTATATAGCTGGAGACTATAAAAAATTGATAGAATGGTTGATGGAAATGATTAAGACACTAGAAATGAAAGAAGCAATTTCATGATTATATACGGCTGAAACATAAGCCTGATATTTTCGGCATGCAACAAAAAACGCAAAGATCTCAAGCTTTGTTTCTCTGGAGTTTCACAACTACGTTGAAGCCCCATAGTCTGAGTTGTGGATGCAACTACTCCGTATTCGTATCGTTCGAAGCTTCAATATGCTGTAGATCCAGAAGGAAGTGCTGCATCCAGACACACCCCCTAAAAGAGGGCAGTGCCAGCCACTTGGCGAACCTAAAAATACGTTCTGCAAGTTTCAATGGTAGTGCCAAGACAATTTTGGCGCGCGTGACATTCCGCGCGGCGGAAAGGACTTGGCAGTCAGCATCCCTGTCTGTGAGAAATGATAGGAAAGACCCTCTTCCAAATCAAATGTGACAGTTCCTCGTGCTCTATGACCCAAAGAGTGTGTTAAAAAATATATTCAGTTGAAGGTTTTGTTTTCATGTCTCCCTCCCCTAACCGCCTACCCCGGGTACACCGGGAAGGGGGGCGCTTGGCATTACTACAAAAAGAAAACTCAACGCCAAGCACCTGAAAACCGGGCTGAGCAAAGCTGCCCAGAACGAAGTCAGGCAGCAGGATTGGTCGGTGCCAATGTCTTGGAACATGGCTTTGTACGGAGTACCTAATCCCGCTCATATAGCGCCTCTGTGCCAAGTGAATGGTTTCATATATCCGATGGATTCCATTGAATTATTACGCTTTAGTTCTAGGGGATGAACCCTCATATTCTCCTCTTGTTCCCAATGCACTTCACTCCTGCTCTCTATCTTCAAGTCCCATGCATTTCCTCCGATGTCTCCGATGTCGGTCACCATCTCAAATGAGGCCAGTGATCCTTTCTAGTTGGTTGACCACCATCTTTTTGGCCTGCCTATTCATACCAAATGTCCTCGCAATAATCGAGGTCAACCCTGAGGATGAGAGTAGGTCTATCTCATATGCTAGTTAATCACCGCAAATGACTTACATGGACTTCTCCCGACAGCGTCCCTCAAAAATGCCGCCAAGACCGTCGCCACTGCCATGATGAAGTTCTACGACGAACGCGACTCAAAAGATATCCCGGGTAAAATGGACGATACCTGGTGGGAGGGCGGTTCGATGTTTATGACTCTCATCCAGTACTGGTATTTAACGGGCGACAGCCAGTTCAACAACGCCATCCAGGAAGGCATGTATTGGCAAAAGGGCGAAAACGACTTTTTCCCAAGCAACTACTCCCAGTACCTCGGTAACGACGATCAAGTGTTCTGGGGATTGGCGGCAATAACCGCCGGAGAACTCAACTTCCCAGAAAGAGAAGGCGAACCTTCGTGGGTTTCTCTGGCCGAGGGTGTCTTTAATGGCCAGGTCCCTCGCTGGGATATGAACACTTGCGGCGGAGGTTTGCGCTGGCAGATCTGGCCTTACCAGAATGGATATGGATTGAAAAACGCCATCTCTAACGGAGGCCTTTTCCAACTGTCAGCACGGCTGGCACTATACACCAAGAACGCCACCTATGCCGAGTGGGCCGAGAGGATTTGGGATTGGAGTGCGTCTACGCCGCTATTGAGAAAAACCTGGGTTATCGCCGATACCACTTCTACCGCGGCGAATTGTAAGGATCACGGTGATCACCAATGGACTTACAACTACGCTACCTATATCGCCGGTGCAGGTTATATGCACAACTATGTATGTCTATACCCCATCCCCAACAAGTTGACTCTCCGGGATATCCAAACTAACCGGTTTTATAGACAAACGGCACCGAAAGTAAATGGCTGACAGGTGTGTCAGGATTGATCGGGGCATCTAATCAGTTTTTCCCCGCCTCCGGTCAGAACCAAATCATCTCTGACATCACCTGCGAGCCGATCGATCTGTGTGATCGCAACCAGAAAACCTTCAAGGCATATTACACTTCATGGCTTGGATTCATGTCGCAGATAGTGCCCAGCAATATCACGGCGTCCACAATGGCGAGATTCAAGACCTCCGCTGTCGCTGCTGGCCAGCAATGCTCAGGTGGCAGCGATGGGACTCTTTGTGGAGTTCGTTGGACGAAGAAAACGGTATGGGATGGGTCTTCGGGCTTGGAGCAGCAGATGTCTGTTCTGGGTGTTCTTAATGCCGTCATGGTCCCATTCAAGAGCCAGGGCCCTTACAATGCCGACAATGGTGGTACATCTAAAAGCGACCCACATGGAGGCACTAATACAAAGGAAACCGTGGGGCCTGCGCCTATCACTACAGGTGATAGGGTTGGCGCGGGAATCCTGACTGCTGTTTTTGTTATACTGTGGGTCGGGGCTATAGGTTTCATGTTGAAAAAATAGTCGATACACTCATACATGTATATTTGGAGTTTTGGTGCCCTGAGAAATCCAGGCTTTTTTTTTTGCGATATTTTTTGATGCTAGAAATCTATTCACAATTATAATTTAGCCAACTACCAAGTGAAACTGAAGTATAATTAGTAGTTAGGTATATACAATCCAAAGTAGCCTATATAAGAGTGTGTAGATCCAGAGGATAGAGATCAATAGAAACTAGTTGCTCCATGCAGGAGACGGCATTATGTACAGTCTCATCTCCGAAATTTGAGTGCTGAAGAAATTTGTACAATCACCCTGAGACTTTAGTTTCCACTTAGTTTCATCGGGGCAAGGCCCAAAGAAACATCGTACAATGATTAACCATGGAAGGAGAGGGACACTAGATAAATAAGAGAGCAGGTGTTCCTCACGCAGCCATATCTCCAAGATCATGTCTCGGTCAAGTACTTCCTCATCCTGTACGGTGCAGAACTTCGTTTTGTTTGTCATTTCAGACCTCCTCATCCTCCGTGGTCTCGTGGGTCTTATCTTTCTTTGAAGCTGCTGCTCCAGCCCTCACGAGCTTAGCAACACAATCCTTAGCACGTAGAAGACGCCGCTGCGCTGCGTTGGCGGAGATATCATAGTGGCGGCTGACAGCGGCCCAGTCAATCTGGAATATGATATTAGTGCTGAAAAGCAACGGATGAGCGGGAGAGAGCTCGCCTTAATGCCTGTCTCTCTGATACAGGTAAGTACAAACTCGAGCCTTTCTTCCAGTAGCTCACGACTAGTCTCCCCAGTGGTCTTGGCAGTGGTCTTGTTGGTAGGCTTAGCAACAGCCTTCTTGGTGGCCTTGATTTTGGTGACTCTGTTAGAAGCCATGACAAAAATAAATGACTAGGCTGCTGTGATATTATTTGATGCAAATGCAAATGCGCAGAGAAACAGTGAACTTTACTCAGGTCGAGGAACTCGAGGAGAGGAGGAAAGAAGAAGAAAAACAAGGAGAATCAAGATCGAGAACCAAATTTATACCCTGATCTAATAGCAAACAGCTTGGAGTCTTCTCCCTCGTCCCATATTACCTCTTCGTACAGAGTATTGTGTGAGATACTACCATAAAGCCAGCTACAGCATTACTTGCAGCAGAAAGAAATTCATAGGAATTTCGGAGATGTAGATAACATAACGTATTTTAAACAAACTAGTATTATCTAGACCTACGACAATTATATAGATTGTTTAATTGTTGTTCCTTAAAGCTTTCGCTACGTTTGTATTAGATTATTTATCGTCCTCGGTGCTTATGGTTCGATTTTCTGCCAAGGGGTCTAGGGTTTAGCTCCTACCAATATCATTAACTGCGTCCAGCGCCAAATAAACAAATTATGTGAAAATCAGTGAGCTTTAATTCCCATGGTTCCACGAACCCCTCTACATAGAAATACGAAACTCCAAGGTAAAATTACTACGGGACGCCAATTAGGACTCTTTTGCAGTCACACGTCATGACCTCATCTACCATTCAATGTACCTAATAGCCATAGTGGCGATTTTAGCTATTGGTTTCATAAATGACAGAGTGATCATAAGATCTTTTTACTAATATGGCCGTGTAAGGTCATTTGACTTGCTATATCTTAAGTATATAGAGGGCTTTAATGGATAAAAAAATCTTTCATAATGTCCTAGATATCAGCAAATATCGCCGAACCATTCGAATCAACTCTCCCAGAAACATTTATTTATATTCACCATGTCGGACCTCTTCCGCAGAGCATCTGACGCCTTCCACCATCGCCGGAACTCAACCGACTCAACGGATGCATCCAAATCCCTTGATCCTTCTAGCGCGGCAAACCCTCCCGAGCAAGAGTCACTGAATCAAAACTCCGAATCTGCTCAGCCTGAGTCTCACGTTAATGAGGCTTCCGCAGGTGTAGCGAATGGTACAATGCCACTTTCTCGTCTTTTGTGTATGGTATATAATAACAAAATCCTACAGACAATGCTGCACCTCCGAAACAACACCACTTTTGGGGATGGCCACACCACCAGGCAAAGTAACCCGGGACAAAGCAGCAACCTAGCTAGAAGCAGGAAGATACTGAATGGGCTGCTGGCACGTAGAAGAATCATCGTGCTCGACAGAGTTGCCGGGGTGCTAACATTGAGTTTGTGAAGAGACTGACTACCAACACTCTGCTTTTTTTTTTTTTTTTTTTTTTACCTCCAACGCATTCGTGCTAAATAACCTGAGTATTATTATTTGCTCCGCCTCGCTCCGCAAAGTCGTCATATAGCCGTCGTGTTCATCCGCCTCTCTGAAATTGATATGTTATCCCTCTTGTGTTCTGCATTCTGCCTTGCAATCAATCCAAACCCAACAATGGATCTTAAAGTCATGTAAAGATCTAGCAATATACTTAGGATAGGTGCCAAGGTTTACCTACTGGGCAAAAAGCGGCAAGGCGTGAACACTGAAACGGAAGGGGAAGGCCACTATTATCCTGTCCACGGGTATATATGCATACCTAGGTATATGCTATATAACCGCCATCTGCTCAATACACTGTTCAAACACCGACCCGACCCGCCTTTTGGAGAATATGGGGTAGAGGCTATTGACTATTCTCCGACAACGCGTTCATTGCCATAAGGAGTAATATGGTGGAGCTAATGCAAACCCTAATATCAGATTGCGGGGGAAATCTACATATGTTTACATTGAAATCAAAAAAGATCATCTAAAGCAATGAGGGAAGCGAAAATAGAGAAATTTATTGGAGACCTATAAGTATTTATTGTTTTATTGGCCCCATAATTCACATCTATCCTTTTCCCACTCCCACCATGTTTCGCTGTCTTTCTTTCTTCATCTCCCTGGCAGCTGTCACGAACCTTTATGCCACTCACTATGACGGCAACATATACACACTCTCCTATGATGGTGCAAACTCACTTTCGATCTCTTCATCCTTGAAAACATGCGGTGATGGCCCTAGCTGGCTTACGTTCGATTCGCCAACGCGCACACTTTATTGCTCCGACCACTCAGGCAATGCGTCTATGAATGGCCTGTTGAGCTCCTACTCTGTGAGCCGGGATGGGAGCCTGAAGGAACTTGCGAATACCGTTGACGTGGGTGCCGCAGTCCACAGTACTATTTATGGTGGCAAGGACGCGCACAAAAAGTATTTGGCTATTGCGCATTAGTGAGTAACTTTGATATCTACTTAAGCCAGCTATGTAGACGACCCTTCTACAAACAAACTAACATATATCAGCGGCGGTTCCACCCTTTCGACCTTTACCCTACCCCTTAGCCCCGATGAGAAGGCCCTGCAGATCTTCCGCTACCGAATGTCCCAGCCCGGTATCAAACCCGAGCAGGATGCGTCGCACCCGCATCAGGTGATCCTCGATCCAACCGGTGATTTCATCCTTGTTCCAGACCTGGGCGCCGATAAAGTCCGCGTGTATACCATTAACCAGCATTCGGGACGCCTGAATGCATGCCCTAGTCTTAATTACACTGCCGGCAGTGGACCGCGCCATGGTCTGTTCTGGAAATCCAGCCCCTCGGATGTAGCGCGAGCTCCAGTGACTATGCTGTACACTGTCAGTGAATTAAGCGGCCGCTTCAATGCGTTTGCTGTGTCTTATTTATCCTCCGGATGTCTCGGGTTCCGGGAAACCCAATCCTTTGTGCCATATCCAGGCGGAAAGTTACCGGCTAAGGCTACGCCGGCGGCGCTCCTCATGGCTGGGAATTCTATTTATGCTTCGATTCGCTTTGATCAAGGACACCCTCCGAATGATTCCCTGTCGGTCTTGACTCGGTCCCCCAATGGCACAGTGACTTTCAGCCAACTCACTTCTTCACATGGCACCGTTCCCCGCACTTTTTCCATCAATAAGAAGGGCACTCTACTGGCTATTGGGTGCCAGGCTTCATCTAATGTAGCCATAGTCAAAAGGGATCTGGAGAGTGGAAAGCTCGGCAATCTAGTTGCCAACCTGCAGGTTGGACAGCCTGGTCAGGCTAGTAATTCGTCGACGGGGTTGAGCAGCATTATCTGGGAAGAGTGAGCTCTTTAACATAACTTGATTGTACATATAAAGCAAGGTTGATGTCAGGGTCTACTGCTATCTATATATTTTGAATGGGAGGTTATGGAACTTTATAAGTAGATCTTTGAGGCCCCTTTATTTGGTTTTTTTTTATATCGTGCTTGTGATGGAGACATCTAGTAACCATATATCTCCTATATATGAAGCCAAGTCACCTGCTTCCTCCTCATCCTTGGCATTGCAGTCAATCAATAACCGTTGCGGGGAAAGAGGAGAGATGAATTGCCGATACGTGAGTCAATCACACAGGCTGTTGTTTCTCTCTCTAGAGATCAATAATATTGATATGCAACATGTTATCTGCTATACAAGATCCAGTCTCCAAACTCTTATTATACATTGACATCACCTGCACTATTACTTGCACATTTCCTCTGAGATGAGGAAATGATGTAATCCCGAGCATAATTGCATTGATGTTACCGGGTTTATTTTTTGTTCCTGTTGACTTTGTATATGTCAACAAGCTAACATGGGTTATTGATGTGTGCTTCCATCCATGCCATCGAGCTCATATGCTGATGTTCACTGGCTCTCCACTCGGATTTAAGCCGGATTTAATATAGGCTGACGGCCTATCTCCTTTCCATTTTGCATGACCAATAACACAAGAAATGTCGTCAATTACCGAAAAGACTCCAGTGGCGCTGCAAAACAATTCTAACAGCACTATCAGTAGGGCTTGACGTTGGTTGAAAAATCATCCGGCCCACCTGAGGCATGGTTATGGTTATGGATACCTATAACAGCCGACCAATCAGATACGATCTGTCATCATGTTGCAGGAGATGACAAGCTTAACCGTTCTTGTGTCACATCATGACTGCCATGTGGTATTGGCCATATAAATTGGCGTAATGTTCGTCTCCTGATGGGCCTTCACTCCTTGTTTTCACACTCACATCTTTGCAACGGCACCGAAGCTCAGCAAACTCCACAAATATGATAAAGACACTCTCACTTGGCGGACAGCGGGTCCCCGTTCCTGGGTTTGGCGCCATGGGCCTCAATTCTGCAATGGGATCAGACTTCAATCTTGCACAGTCCGAGCCCGTTCTATTGAAGGCTATCGAGTTGGGCTGCACATTCTGGGATACCGCGGTAAGCCATCTTTTCGTATTATACCGAGTGTGATAGCTTCTAATCCCATTGCCGTCCTAGGTTGCCTACAAAAACGGCGAAAATGAGAAGCTGCTTGGAGAATTCATCAAGAAGCACAATGTTCGCGATAAGCTTTTCGGTAAGTTGGCTGTTAGCTTTCTCTGCATTGAATTATCATCTCATGTCATTTCGATGCACAGTGGCCTCTAAGTGTGGATTTGATGTCTTCGGGCCCGAACGAAAGGTAACCAACTCGGCCGCCCACATTAAAGAATACATCGAGGGAACAATCGATAGACTTGGTTTCACCCCCGATCTCTACTATCTCCACAGAATCGACCCCAGTACGTAACATCCACAGGAAGGAATTTCATTCGAATCCGTATGCTAACTCTGCAACTCAAGACACTCCCCTAGAGGAGTCTATCGGGGCCCTGGATGAACTCCGACGTGCCGGAAAAACAAAATATATTGGCCTATCCGAATGCTCTGCTGAGACTTTGCGGAAGGCAAACACGAGTACGTCTATAAAAGTACAGAACAAAAGAATGCACGCTAACATATCTTAGTTGCCAAGATCGATGCCGTTCAAGCCGAGTACTCTGCCTTTGAGACATTACACGAGACCACTGGCCTCATTGAGACGGCAAAGGAATTGGATGTGGCCTTTGTAGCATTCAGTCCTCTGGGACACGGCTGGCTGGTGGATGACTTCCAGTTCAAGTCTCCTGATGATTTCGCCCCTAATGACTTCCGACGCACTGGTACGTCACTCCTTTTTGGGTTTGCTAAAATTCTGCCGGATTCGGGTAACTAACTTCTAGAAATATTTTAGTTCCTAAGTTCCAAGGCGAAAACTTCTACAAGAACAAGGCTATTGTTGACGAGATCAAGAAGTTGGCAACCCGAAAAGGTTGCACAGTTGCACAGATTGCCCTGGCCTGGGTTGCTGCGCAGGGATTGATTACTATACCAGGAACGACCAAAGCTTCACGCTTGGAAGAAAACTGGGCATCTCGTGATGTCGAATTGACAGAAGAAGAGTTGAAGGAGATGCGAGATATCGTGGAGGCTGCTAAGCCGGTTGGGGAAAGATTCTCTGCTATCTTCCAATCGATGGTTGGTCACTAGACTGCAACAATGATTAGGTCCTTCGAAAGATCTAGAATCTATGAGATAGAATATGCAAGGCTAGTAATTGAAATATTTCTTATTCTATAAATTCCAGAGATATTGCAGACTTCCGTGGGCAACAGTACAATAGTTTATAAAAGAAAATCAGCCATAACATCACACAAATGAGAAATCACATGTAACGCGATAACCTTGTGTCTACAGGTAATAAGAGTCTCTAAGAGGGTGAGAATATTCGAGCTTAGATAGATTAATGATCTTAATGATGAAACCAGGTAAGTTCAGACTGACATTGAAGGAATACACACTTCGTATGGTTTGGAGGATTCTTGCTTTTCCCACCGGCAATGAAAGCCAATCAGAAGTAAGTCCACAATGGTATAGATCGCCCGTCGTAGGGAAGGCTTTTTTGAGTGAGTGGGTGGCATTATCGCCTTGCGAAACATATACACAAGGATGCCAAGGGGCTGTTCGAGGTTCCCTGTACTCACACTGAGCACATACTTGGACCACTAGTCTAGGTTAGGATATCAAGGTTCAATATCAGTTAGAAATACTTACCTTTGAATCATTTGATATCTTCAGGAAAGAAAATGATGTTCCGTTAGAAGCCATACCATATACCGTGGCGTCTCGCTTTGCGATCTTACGCTTCCGATGTATGCATCCTTTGGAACGAGTTAGCTTTCCGATATATAGCATCGGAGGCATTGTTGGATACTCACCCATAGAACCCAGGGCTTGCGCCACCCCGGATTCAATATCAAGATTTCTTGCCTTGACAATCAGGACGTTGAGGCAGATGTCTTCGCCGTCCTCTCCGCACCAGATTTTGTAATATGGACAGACCGACAACTTGACCTTTGTCTTCTTCCAGGTCACCGGGCTATGCGTATAGGTTTTCTCCATCTGAATGTTCAGAGGTTGGGTATTCGGATGATCAGTTGTCGCTATTTCATGTGCGTGGAGGAGTAGAGCGTTGATTACCCAGCGGATGCTGACTTCGCTTTGAGGACTACGCCCAGAGGCCCGGTCAATTAGTTCTAGTGTTCTAACTGTAGCAAGTTAGCTATATACCTCCTTTACTTCTTGCGTCGAGCTTGTTTACCTAGGTTTGGAGGTAGTTGGAGTTCAGGCACATGTTGTAGTTCTTGGTCCTTGCGATCAAATTTCAACCCAAGGACTTTCTCAATTTCCTTGAGAGAGAGCGATGAGATTGGAACAGTCGGTAGTTGCTCATACTCCGATAGCTTCTCAAATTTATCTACTGTCTCTCTAAGTTGCGTCTGGTCGATATTGCCATCCAAGTAATCCTGGACCCCAGTCAACGCTCTATCCAGCAACACCTCTTTTGAAGAGTCATGTCCTGGAGCCATTTTGGTAGACTTCTGGTTTAGAGATTTTGTTTGGATGAGAGATTGCGAGAAGATGGGAAGAAGAGTAAAGAGAGTTGATGGGAAAGGAAAATAAAGCTCGGGGGTGAATCTACATCACACATTGCACCGCGTCTCTTTCAGCCATCTGCGCGATTTTCTGCGTACCTGCCTAGCCCTGGAGGTATAGGTAGCCTCCAAAGATAATTACAATCAATTAAATAAGCACTTTATTCATACAGTATGTATCACCCAGACAGCCCTTCCGAGGCCGTATATCACTTGGGCAGGTGTATGGATATATACCCGGATGAAAGGATACATAAAGCTATTTGAAAACAGACATGGACCCCGGGGACTAGGTAAAGATACCCGTAGATAATCTAGGTATTCTGAGGCTGAAAGATCCGTCTGTGCTTTTATTTCCTTTCCCAATCTGGCAAAAGTCTTCAATCATCCAAATATCTAGACCCTCGCTTTATCCGAGGCTAGATGTGTACTTGAGAGAACCCTTACTTCCAGATGCTTTCTTGTCATTGGCGCAAAGTAGTCTCCCCATTTCATATCATCAGGTGTGGTTTCATATAGCTGCATATCGAGACAGTGAAACATATATGCGAAGGCTAAATATAACTCGGAATAAGCGAGACTAGAGAATATTTGCCCGTGTAAGTTCCAGCATACAGCATAACGAGCGAGATAGAATATGCACATAGGCGTTGCATATTCTAACTTACTTGATTCCGAGACAGCCCCGCGAACCCCTGGAAAAAGATACCAAGTGGCGATCTAGATGCTTAAAGTCGTCACCAAGCCAACGCTCAGGCCTAAAGGTATTTGGTTCTGGAAATACCGAGCCATCAGTGTTATAAACATACTGGCTAAGCGAAACGGCGGTCTTTAGTCATAAAGTCAGTGAATTGACGGGGCATGCAAGCTTGTGAGGCCAAGGAACATACTCCAGGGGGTATATATTGTCCACAGAGTGTGGCACCAGATGGTGGTACGATACGCGGGAGTCGTCCAGGGGCCCCATGAGAGAAGCGAAGCGACTCTTTCACAACGGCTCTCTAAAAATGTTATAGTCAATTTCAAGCCCCATATTAGTCCGAACAGAAGCTCAGTTACATACCAGGTAAGGTAGCTTCTCAAGTGTCTCTGCAGTTGGCATTGGGTGGCCATCAAGTATTACACTGGAAAGCTCCTGTTGAAGTCTGCTTTTAATTTGGGGATTGCTCAAGATGTGGAAAGTACCATGAATCAAAGTATTTGCTGTCGATTCCTCTCCGGCAACTAGGAAAACCAGGGCCTCGGCGGTGAGATCATCAATAGATGGTGCTGGTAGACCTGTTTTTGCATCTGGCTGTAAGATCAGGTCAAACATGCTCGGATGCTGTTGCTCTGGTAATTTATGGCGTTCAATGGCATTTAGAGCTAAGTTTTGGGCTTGCTAGACACGGAAACATCAGCGACAAGAAAGAGAAAGAAAAACACGAGTAATATGTTGACTAACTCACAGTACGCAGATGAAAGACTGCAGCCAATATTGTATTCCACTTTGCAAGAGCAGGAAATTGCAGGGTAAGAGTAACAATAGGCATGAGAAGGGTATGGAATGTACGGACAAGAACCGCAGAGACGAGAAAAGGATTCATATGAACAACAGATGGATAGGTAAAGTCTGGGGAATCGAGCGCCCCAAATGTCCTCTGCCATCCATAGTTCATGATCAGGTCTGTAGTAAGCGAGTGATAGCCTCTTGTGAGATCAACCACTCTGTTATCCCTGCCGTATTCTCTCAGAATATCTATGAACTTCATGATGGTGGCATGAATTAAAGGATCACCTCTTGCAACAGCTGCTTTGGAGAGAAATGGCGCAAACATCTCTCGTCGTGACTTGGAAGACTTGAGGTCTAGCATGTTGAAGTGGGATCCTTCCCCAAGGGGGTAATTGTAGAATCGACGGTCCTTGTCAAATTGTGTGCCGACGCAGAAAACTTCGTTATAGGCATCTATATCGTGGATATGTAATTCATTGGGATAGGTTCGGACAATCGGCCCTGTAAACCACGGAGATGTGAGATGAAAGTGGAAGTGGCATTATACGAACCCGTACCATATTTCCGATGAAGTTCTGGAAGTATTAGAGTGTATTGGCCTCCTTTGACCAACGACCAGTACGCGCCGTAAAGGTGTGTGGCGGCAGCGAGCTTTGGTCCCGGAAACCGGGCAAGGGGATGAAAGAATAACCTATAAATCATACGAAGACACTGGAGCCCCAGCAAAGCAGCTACCACCCACGGCCAAATCATGTTGACAAAGATGGGCTTATTTGAAGATCGGAATAAATTATGAAAAGTGCTTTGTGTGGATGTGGAGTACTTATAATACACTGCTGGCTACTTACTTACTTTTGGGCGCTCTGCTTTTCACCTCACATGCATGGAATCATCTTCATTGGATATCTGATGCCCCCTCGCTTAGGCCTCCTCGTGCGATATGACACATCTATTCGAGTTGCCAAGATGTATGCACATGCAGGCAAGCCCGATATGGGACATACAACATAAGCAAGCAATGATGTCTTTCCTCTCGTGCACCCATTAACATACATCAATTGTGCTTGACAGCTAGGTATACAACATTCCCAGGTGAATGAAACCAAAAATCACTTCCCAAAAGATATGCAACTCTAAATTGGAGATTAGGAAACATGTCTGCCTCGTAGAGATGCTTGAAGCTGCAGATAAATTAGATCTTTTCTCGCCGTATATCATCCCCATTATCCCTAGAGCGTTATGTTTAGCACATATTTCCATCGATCGTAATTCGGAGATTTATTTGGCTATTCCCGTAACTTTGCTTTTTTTTCCTTTTTTTCCAGGAGAGATTTGCGTACTTTGTAGTAAGACCGTATCAACGCCTGGAGACCCGTGAGCCATTTCACGACTACTGCGTTCATGAGGCCACTGAACCTACAAATTTGTCCTATCTTCATTATATGAATCAACGCCGACTCGCGGTCCTATTTGTTAGGAGCCTCATGCAAAATTGAAGCATGATAACGAGATATAGCAACGATTACGAACCATGCATCATGAGTATCATGCAAAACGGCCTGGACGGGGGATTTCTTAGAGAGACGCGGCACAGCCAATGCTTTGAACAACCTCTACAACACCGAGCTTTTCTTAAGGGGCAATGTAACATGATGAAAATGGGATGGGCTTGTGCATTAGTAGTATGCATCGTATCATCCGGAACGATCTAGATAGGGGGTTTCTTGGAGGGATACCGTATAGTAGATTACTCTACGGAGTCAACAATCTCTATAACCCCAAGATTTTATGAAAGGTCTAGGTACTCCGTAATGGAACGAGAATGGGATGGGCTTAGGCATTGGTGCCAGTGGGAGGCTGCCCTAGAGTAGTTTAGTGTCCACGAGCATCTTGGCTTGGATATATCAGAAATGGCGGCATTATTTATTACCTATTGAACTCAGGGGCCTGTACCTCGGGGACCTCGGCAGACATAACCTCTCTGGTCGACAAGATGATCTTGCGAGTATAATTTTCAGAAATCTAGCCCAGATATTGCTTTCTCGTTTGATCCTGAGTGTATCATGGAGCTCATGCAATTTTCACAGGATAGGATAGCCCACAATACTGAGAATTCCGATCCATGTATGTTCAAGATGATACGAGTTGGCCCCGAGAAAAACTGACATCAGGTCAGCCTCTAGAATCTTTCCAATTCTGCTTGAAATGCAAGCATACGATCTCTGTTCTATTGTGCTGCATCAGCATTAGAGAGGGAAAGCGATACCGGAGATGGTGGAGCATCATCCATAGCTGTCGTTTCAGACAAGCCACTACCAGAAGTTATTCTTTAATAGGTAAGTTACGAATGGAGAGCCGGCCATGGCCAGCCCGAAAAGCATTCATTTTCGACGTCATTTTCATGGGTCCTCGCATTCTATGTGTAAAGAATCAATCCGCTCGCAATTGATTATAGAACGGAAGGCGTTGGGGCCATTAATCAGGTGACAGTGTAAAAAAGACATTAAGGCATTACCCTCATTCCCTCAAATTCGGACAAACGCTGTAGAGTGAAGTATCACATTAGCACTATGTCCGAAACCATGTTTCCATGTTTATACTGCAAGAGAGACAGATAGAGGAAAGGGAGACACTTACTAGCATCAATCTGCTGGATATTCGGCAACGCCAAGCGCACCTTATTCCGGTAAACAGCTGGCCCATTCAGTTGCAACGGGTTACCCTCGAAGTAAACAGTCTGCAGCTTCTCCTTATCCTTGAGTTCGCGCTCAACTTCCTCAAAGCTAGCAAGCTGATTATTTGAGCCCCACAGCTCTTCAAGGTTCTTTAGTGAAGAAAGATGTTCAAGATGAGAGACCTGGTTATTGGAAAAGTCAAGTACGCGCAGTGTCTCGTTGGATTCTAGTCCTGAAAGGTCGGTTACGGCATTGTGAGAGAGGTAGAGCTCTTCAAGCTTTGGGAGCGCGGAGAGACCTGTGATTTTCGTGAGGCGGTTGGATTGGATGGAGATGATGCGGAGGTTTGAGAGATTGTCCAGGTTCTGCGAGGGTGTCAGGTTTCTTACTTTTTAAGGCATTTTGGGTGACAATCACGAACCTTCATTTCGACGATCTTGTTTTTCCCAAGCCAGAGTTCTTCCAGCGCGGTCAATGTTTCCAAGTTTTCGATTTCCTGAGCGGATCCCGTGTCAGCTTTCCGTTGTTTGTCTCATATGCCGGCACCGTATAGTACGAACCCGAATCTTATTCGCGCCCAACTCCAAGTTCTTGATTCCGGTCAATTCCTCCAAGCCCTCGATACGGGAGATTTTGTTCTGCACAAAGAAAATCTCGGTCAACTTCTTCAGATGCGAGATATTCTTAATATGCTTGATCTTGTTGAAGCTCAAATCCAAGCTTGTCAAGTTCTGGAATTCCTCCAAGCCTTTGACGTGGGAGATGAGGTTATCATAAAGGTCGAGTTCGGTCAGAGTAGCGGCGACATTTGGAGGGAAGTTGATGCGTGATATTTGATTCTGGCGCATGCATAGTCTCTGTATATCCCAACGCGTTAGCTATTTGGGCAAATCAAAGGAAAGCCGTGCCGTTGCGCTTTTGTGCCTTGAGGAAAAAGTGGTACCATATGCCCCTCTCTGCTACCAGGCGCGTGCGGATTCCAGTGTCAGGTCGTTTAGGGCATGTACCTGAAGCTTAGGGAAGCGTTCCAATTTAAGAGCAGAAATCGACGATATCCGGCAATGCACAAGGTCGATATCCTACAGTATAAGAATGATTAGCAATCAAGTCGCGCGCGCATCAGCGGAGAGTCTAGGAGGGCTATGTGCCTACCTCTGCGTTAACATCTTCATCTGCCAATAGATCTGAACAACCGTTAGTATATTGACTTGTCCATGGCTGCTCAGCCTTGAGCAGTCAATCATTCGGCGACCGTACCTTCATCGGCCTCAATCTCATCGACCGGGGGTGCATCCGGATCCGAGTAATCGGAATCCTCCAGCGCCTCTGGGTTTGTAATAACCGCTTTTAGTTCTTTTGGCTCCTTTGGCTCCATCCTCATTTTTCCGTCCCAGCCCTCCTTGTTCTTCATAATTTCAGCCAGCGTGGGAGTTGTGGGATGTTTGGAGGTGGGCGGTAGGAATCGCGATTGCGGGGAGCTTTTCGCGTTTTTATCGGGAGACGATCGCCAATGGGTGATTCTTGAAAAAAAAGTGAACTACAAGATGAGCTCGAAAGAACAAAGAAAAAACAAAGAGTTTGCACTGAGAGTCAAGAACTGAAAACTTGGTTTCGGCAAGGTTGGGGTGACTACATCATTGTCTTAATGCGGTCTCAATGCGGAACAGCCCCGAGGTACTTCAACTTATTTACGGAGTACATATGCACTTATTATAATAGTATAGGATATAGATGGATAAAAATTAATGGGTTAAATTCATTTCTACTCTAATACAACTGGCTCCATTTTGTTTTCTGGATACGTCATCTCGGGGGCTATATACAGCATCGAGAGTCGCGGCTGGTCATGTACATTGCATGAAAGAAACTCTCCAACAACTTCGGCAGCATAAAGGGAATTATTAGACACTGCTCACTATGAAGGAGATGCATACCACTGCCAGGCAGAGGTCCCAGCAAAGGAGAGGACACAATGAAATGTATGCTCATGTATTGGTGAGCTGAGATCAAGGCAGTAAGGCCGTGTAGTAAGGCAGAAATGGGAAAATAGAAACATAGGGGGGATACAGCGGGGACATGATAACCAAGAGACGCCTGCAGAATGCATAAAAAGCGGACTTGTTAGGTGTTGGGGGTGAGAGAATACACAAAAAAGGGAAGATCAGGGCATGAGGGGTTGTTGATAAAGCACAGGGGAAGAAAAGGAAAAAAAAAAAAAAAGGAGGAATGGGCTCGCTCGGAGCGTAGTGAGATACAAAGTGAAATTGCAATGCGAAAGGTCGAAGATGGTCAAGTTAATGTGCTATCCAACGACAACAAATGCAGGAGACGGGGCCGTGGCCCAGTAGGATACCAGTTCCATCTGGGTCCATGTTCGGTCGTCGAGAAGGGGAATCGGATTGGAAGTAGGAAATAGGGCGACTACCCATCAATGGCAGCAATGCTGGAGGAACGCAAAAGGAAAGGGCTTTTCTCGCGTAGAAAAGAAAATAATTCGCTCAAAATGGATATCTCAGACGTAAGAAAGATCCCATCGAGGTATCTACAGGGTGCAATCCAGGACCATGCTGACATCTTGGACTTGGGCCCCTGCGAGATCCTCGAGAACAGGGATGAGATCGAGCAACTCATTGTCGTGAGCGTCAGAGAACCAGCTACTGATGGGAATCGCGTGCTCAGGGTGGAAGATGTATGAGGTGGGGGAATTGTCAATGATGATTGTTTCCTTCAAGTCTCGGCCAACTTGCGAAAGATCCTGAATAATGGTTAGGTAGTTCTCAGACTAAAGAAGACGAAGGAGCTCACCTTGACGTAGTTCCCCTGGTGGTTATAACAACTCTCTCGGAACAGGCGGTGATGAATCACGTTGTGGATATCCAGTTGATCAAGCAAAGGGTCGCCGTACTATTATAACTCGAGTCAGTGTATGGCACTAGCCAAGACGAAAGTGTCTACTGACCTTGGAAACCGAAGCAGTGAATACCACCACTTCGTAAAGCTCACCAACACGCTTCATGAATGCATCCACACCAGGACGTTTGATCACATAGATGTTGTGGTATTGTCCTTCAATCTCAACTGGAATGGTGAAGTCGGCACGTTCCAAAACCTATCAAATCAATAATGAGCGAGGTGATACGATGATACGATGATACGCCACGGGCGCGTATTGAAAGTGACAAGGACTTACTTTGAAGCTGCTGTGAACCAGCGTCTCATCGAGATCGAGAACCAAACACTTTCGACCACTCAAGTGAGGCAAAGGTGCAGGGAGCAAAGGCTGCGCGGTTTCCTCATAGTGGCCTCGAGGAGGAGCCGGGGGTGCAGGTGGCAGCGGTGGTGGTGGCGGTGGAGGGATCACCACGGGAAGTTTCATTTCTTGATGAGAAGTAACTTCTTCTTGGCCGTCGGTGCCGAAATTTTTAGGCATGGTTGAGGTTGATGCAGAAGTGAGGTCCTCGGTTGCTGAGGTTGATTGCCCCTCCCAATCTTGAGTGTTTGCATCTGCTGTCACTTCAGGTACTGATCCCAGCACAATTCCCGTTTGGGCAGGCGGGGCAACATCATTGATTTGATCCTTCTGACCAGGAACTTCTGACTGTGTGGCATCCGCAGAAGGACCCTCGCCTAGCACGCTAGCCGTAACAACCTGGACATTGCGGTCTTCTTCGCCAGGATGATCTGCGCTGACTGTGGAGTTTGCCGCCTTTTCGTCTAAGTATGGCTCCCTTGATTCTACAGTGCTTGAATCCGCGGTAGGGGCCTCTGCCTTGTCTGGAGTAGGCAACCTATTGGAAGCAGGTGGCCGCATGGTTGTTTTCTTTGCAGGCAAAGCAGTGTCATCCGCATCAACATCCGAAGAGGAACAACAGCCCAAGAAAGCCAGGAACTTAGATGGACTTTTCTTCTGTTGAGGCTTTGAGGGACTATCATCAGGCATAGTCGCAACCTCTTTACTCTCCTCCGCGTTCACCCCGTCCTGAGTCCGGTGCGACCGTCGGCTACTTGCCCGGCTGTGATCCCGTTTCGACCGTAGGATGCTCACTTTGGAACTCCTTCGAGAAGGCTCATCCTGCGATGTTTCCTCAGTCTTTTCCGACCCCTGTTTATTGCCTTTCAAGGATCGTCGCGATGGGATCGGGATCAACAAATGGCGTTTCTTCGGTGCGGTAACGCTCTCAGCGGTGGTCGGTGTGATATCTGCTTGCGCAGTGGAAGACGAGACCGGGTCGGAAGGTGCGACAGAGGCTGCGTCCTGGATCTCGGTCGCATCGGTACCTCTACCCTGTTCGGGCTCAGGAACTACGGAAGGAACGATGTCAGAAACCATGCCCCCCTTGGATATAACAGGCGAAAATAAACAAGCACATTCACTTACTGGCCGAGGCCGGAAGGCTTGAGGTATTCATAGGTGCTTTGTTTGCGGATTCCAGAGCTGAATCTCGCCCTGTCTCTTCACTCATCGAGGATGGCTGCGGTGTCAGGTGCCCCAACACAGATAAATATAGAATAAGGCAGCGAAGCGAAACGATTCCCAGGTCTGAAAGGCCTAGTCAATGCCAGAACTCTCTACGGTATCGAGAGCGCGGCTAATGGACGTTAACACGCCTCCTGGATAAGCAGGCACTCTTGGAAGTTATTTGCACGTACCGCCTTTGGGCCCCGGGAGTGATCCAACACCCACTGGTTGTACTTTCGAAAACGACAAGCTAAACGAACAGAAAAGGGATGTGATATCTCTACCGGTTTAAGGAGGATTTTCGGGGGGAGAGGAGTCGAGAGGAGTCGGGGGGATGTCACGTGAACCTACGGTGTGGGAAAACGGGGGGAGAGGAGGAAATGGGATTTATTTCCTTTTTTCCAATTTTTGACGCTAAACAGGGCTAACAAGGCACAGGGGCCCTTTTTCACACGCTACTACAAGCCATCGGCGGCTACGGTAAATACCGACTTGCTATCACGCTGTGCAGAGTCGTACCCTGTACTCAGCCGATGTTACTTTCATGTTTAAGGTGGGATTATTGTCCATTCTTTCACCATACACATCATACAACCAACCCAGAACATACTAACACCCAGTCAAAACAAGATCGTTTTGAGATGATCCCGATCAGGGCCTGTGGGGGGATCTAATTGTGGATATTAACTGTGAGTGTTATGTACGGCCCCTTTTTTATGGCCACTTTTATGCGTTAATGGCCACTCATATGGCAGTAGAAGGAGCTATGGCCTTCAAAACGTGATTGATTTCATTTGATGTGACTTAAATTAGGTCCAGTCCAATCCTCAAACTGCAAACTGCAAATTACTTTGTACAAACTGGGTTATACCCAGCTATTATTGTTGGTTCGAGTTCTCGAGGTCTAGTTGGGTTGGAATGTTTCATTAAGGGGAAATTGAACATAAAAGTCCACAATAAAGGATATACGGAGTAATCCGTACAGAGTAGACTAGATATCAAACCTATGGAGATATAATCGGGCCAAGGGGGACAGGGGTTCCTCGTTTTAATTATTACTTATCCAGGCCATTTTCTAAAAGATCAAATGTCACCCAGGTGGAAGCCCTAGAGAGAGGCTGGGCTGCAGAAGAGAAGTACAAAGTACAAAGTACAGTCAGCTTCCAGGGTTCCCCACGTGAGGTGCTTCTCCACATATCCGAGGTTCACATGCAATGATGCAACGAAACCCCCCGGATAATCGTGTCAACTTCACTTTCTCACCTTGAGATGCATTCCCTATGGTTTGAAATACACCCGAAACTAACCTTATGGCCTTCGGTCGAGTTTAGGGACCGCCCTTCAGTTATCTCGTGAGTCGGAGGTCTCAGGCCATTTGAAGATGGCCGTACAGTCAACCCTTCGGCGTCCGGAGGATCCCCTCCTAGCACTATATCGTCACTACTACGGTCTCGTACGCTCCAAGTTCCACCGCACATCTAAAAATACCCGCTTGATTGCAACGATAACCCTTCTTTTCTCCATCATCGGCTCGAGTTATGGAGGCTATAAATGGTTCCGAGAGAGAGCTAAGGAGCGAGCCCAGGGTCGCCGTCTATTACGCCGGAACTCTGGTATCCGGGGTAAAGATGGATCTCGTACTATCTATGTGCCATACAAGGACTCCCTCACCTCCAAAGTCTTGATTCGTCCCACCAAGCCGACTACCTTCGACGCTCATCGGCGACTGTTCCTCAACCCCCCTGCATCAGCTCGCAGCAAAGACGATGGCTCAGCAAGCCAGATCCCTCCCCCTACAACTAAACCAGGTCTGAATTTGGCATTCCTGCATCAGTTCTTGAGCTTGGGTAGTATCATGGTCCCAAGATGGGGGAGCAAAGAGACTGGATTGTTGATGAGCCACGGCCTTTTTCTCTTGATGAGAACATATCTTTCACTGCTGATCGCACGACTTGACGGTGAGATTGTGAGGGACCTGGTTGCTGGGAAAGGAAAGGCTTTCCTATGGGGTATCCTCAAATGGTGTGGAATTGGAACTCTTGCTTCATATACCAATGCGATGATCAAATTCCTCCAGTCGAAAGTATCCATCGCCTTCCGCACTCGGTTAACCCGGTATATCCACGATCTATACCTAACCGATAATAACAATTACTACAAGTTGATGAATTTGGACGGTGGAATTGGTCAAAGCCCCGATCAATTTATCACGCAGGACCTTACCCTGTTCTGCACGGCTGCCGCCTCACTATATTCCTCAATGGGAAAGCCGTTGGTGGACGTTTTCGTGTTCAACTATCAACTTTACCGCTCACTCGGCCCCCTTGCCCTGAGCGGCATTTTGGCTGGGTACTTCAGCACAGCCGTGGTACTCCGGAAACTGTCGCCACCATTTGGAAAGCTTAAGGCAGTAGAAGGCAAGAAGGAAGGAGATTTCCGTGGCCTACACTCTCGACTTCTAGCCAATGCCGAAGAGATCTCGTTCTACGGCGGAGCTGATACCGAGCGGGTGTTCCTAGTCAGAAGCTTCAAGGAGCTGCAGCGGTGGATGGAGGGCATTTACAGTCTCAAAATCCGCTATAACATGCTTGAAGACATGATCCTGAAGTACTCCTGGTCAGCATTTGGTTACTTGATTACTTCCTTACCCATCTTCCTCCCCGCCTGGGGTGGCTCGGGTGGTGCAATGGAGTTGACCAATGCAGCAGAGGGTATGGGTCGCGAGCGCGGCCGCATGAAGGAGTTTATCACTAACAAACGCCTCATGCTTTCGCTTGCCGATGCTGGAGGTCGCATGATGTACAGCATTAAGGACATCTCAGAACTCGCTGGCTACACCTCTCGCGTCTACAGCCTCATTGCCACTCTACATCGTGTTCACGCCGATGCATATTACACCCCACGGGGCTCGCATCCCGAACTATATTCTCTTGCCGATTCCCAAGGCACCACCCACAACGGTTTCGACGGGGTCCGCCTAGAGCAGGTCCCCATAGTCGCACCATCCCTCCACCCAATGGGCGGCGACGAACTCATCGAGTCGCTCTCATTTATCGTTCATTCAGGCGAGCACCTTCTTATATCAGGTCCAAACGGCGTAGGCAAGTCCGCCATTCCCCGTATTGTGGCCGGGCTCTGGCCTGTATACCGCGGGCTGATTAGTCGTCCTCGAGGATTCGGCATCGACGGAATCATGTTCCTTCCCCAGCGTCCGTACCTCAGCGTCGGCACTCTGCGTGACCAAGTGATCTACCCGCACACGGAGGTAGATATGCGCGAAGCCGGCGAGACAGACGCAGCTCTACAGAAGATCCTCGACGATGCCCACCTCGGTTATCTGCCACAGCGCGAAGGCGGCTGGGACGCTCGTAAGGAGTGGAAAGATGTTCTAAGCGGTGGTGAGAAGCAGCGCATGGGCATGGCGCGGCTCTTCTACCATGAGCCGCGGTATGCATTCATGGACGAAGGCACTTCGGCTGTTTCCTCGGATGTCGAGGGCTTGTTATATGATAATGCCAAGGAACGAGGGATCACTATTATCACCATTTCGACGCGGGCGTCTTTGAAAAAGTACCATACATATAACCTGACTCTTGGCCTGGGTGCCGAAGGCGAGGTCTGGGAGTTTGAGAGAATCGGTACTGAGAAAGAGAAGCTTGGCGTTGAGAAAGAACTCCAGGAACTGCGTAAGCGTCTGGATAAGGTGGATGAGTGGAAGCAGCGCCGCGAGGAAATTGATCAGGAACTTCAGAAGGTTTGGGCTAACGGTGGTGAAGTTGCACCGCCACCTTATCAGGAAGAAGAGCACTCTGGCTCTGAGGCTCTAGTTGAAGTAACTGCGAATTGAATGTACACAATCACCATGGACCAATTTGGAGGTTTCCAAATTTGGAACGTTAGACTAATTTTTCACAAATACTTCTCCCGTACAGTTAGGATATTCCTCGGTCTACTCCGTAGTGTTACAAGAATAGTAGTCCGCTTATGCAGCCTTATCATGTATTTTTCTTAGTAGTATCTTTGGATATTACTTCTCCTTGCCAGTATTATGCTAGTAGTATAGCTAGAAGGATAAGATGCATCAACCATAGGATATAGCCTATCTCCGGTTCAAAGGTTGTCTTTTCCATACACAACTAACTATAACTATACATAATGACATGTTGAATTAAAGCGGCGAGGGCATGTCTTGCCTGTGTTCACCGCCCTCTTAAATAGGCGGTGCTTCTTATCGATAAGCCCACCTCAAAAGAGAAAACAGCCTGGGCATGGATCTCCATAGTTCATCCTATCAACAACTCCTCCTCGCTTGCGTTCTCGTACAAATCCTCTAGTCACTAGGGGTGGATGTATGTTTATGTTATTCCTTTTCTACCTTTTTTTTTTAGCATCGCTGAGTCCTAAATCCCTTAAAATCCAATCTGCCTTCCTTGGGCTTCCTAGGCGTAGAAGACAAACATGTCTTCTAGCAGCGAGGATGGGGATCCCAATGTTAATGTTATCCCTATGGAGAACTTTCCCAGTGATGGAAGCATGAGTACCTGGCCTGGGGGTCAATACATTGAACGCCCCGATTCTCGCTGGCGGCAGTTACTTGCCGAGAACTGGCTCAAAGACATGGGCACTTATGAAGAAGGTGAGTTGACTACATATGTTTCAGGTTCACGTTTTGTTTAGCATTATGTCTGTGTTGCGTTGCATGATTTTACGTGTTGCATTCATTGTATGGTTTTACGCGTTGCATTTGTTGGGTGACTGCATCTGTTGTTTGCTCCTCTGTGCTCTATGCCGGCCTACTATGTTTTTTCCTCTTTGTTTCTAGACTTCATATCCCTATTCTCAGACTGACAGTGTATACATAAGGTGTCACTCATATCATTGAAAAGTTACCTGAGGGATACTGTCTATTCGAACGACCTCGTGGGACCAATCCTAAAATAGTGAGCTTTCCTAGTGTTCCTTCCCATATCGATTTGCAACTAACGTCATGTGAAGTTTGATCCTTTCCTCTTCGGTCATCCAAGTGGTCAGTATTTCCAGTCACAGACCACTTTCTTGACCCATTTCCTGTCTCTTGTCAAGAACGAGCTAGACAGTTGTGAATGCAAGCCCTGCAGTAAGATGAGGCCGAGCCAGGGGACTTCGGTGCAGGGGACTAGAAAACTCATGCAGCCAAGTGAGTACTACCATGCCACTATGTTAGATCTTTTATTGACACACATCAAGTTATTAATGAGCGTCGCCCCACCGATGCAGAAGGACCAGATTACTGGCGAATCTTGGTCATGAAATTGAAAGATAAGAAGAATCTCGACGAAGATATCGAGCAACGATTCAATCTCGATTGGGTGCTGACTCATGAATGGCTTTCGGATTACTTTATGAAATTGGTTCTGGACCCCGCTTATGTCCCTCGTCGCGGTGAGCTTGTTCTCTGGATCTGGCAGGGTCTCGAAGATGGCTGTTTGTTACGCAACCCTGAGACTGGCTTCATTGAAATATTCGGCAACGACAACAAGTGGCATGGCGTGCCCAATTGGCGTGCCGGTGTAGTGACCCAAACCCCCGAGGACGCAGGACATATGGTGAATATCATTGAAACTCCGGACAGCCCACGCGGGCTGAGCTACTCTGGATTCCGTGTGGAGACTCTACCGGATCCCCTGGGTAATGACAAGTCTTACTCGGTGCAATACGCCTACGTTCCGTTGCGCAACATTAAACCTTTCAACACATGGCAACTCTACCTCAATGGCCAAGAGCGAGAGGACATCCATCCATCTATCGAGAACGCGATGACTGTCATGTCTTCCTGGAGCATGGTTCAAAAGTTCCATGCCCGTGGCGAATGGCCAAACGTCAACATCTATTGCAAGGGAATCTTCATTGGAGCCGAACTTCTCGCCGTACACGACACCGTCCGTCTGAGGCCACATGGGTTCCATCGCGATCATCTCAAAAACGGAAATGTCGGTGAAGTGACGGAAGTGATGGTCGTTGAAAAAATTGTACTTTCCCTTTCGGGGTGTGTCGACGATGATGAGGAGCAGCTAGCAAAACACATCACAGCTATGGTCTCCGGTAAGGTATTCACTACCAATCCTAGTCACATTGCCGAGGAAGGCCCGTTTAAAGGTGCAAGCCCTGTGCCATCCACCACCGAAACAGCAACTGGTCCTGTCCCGCTTACCACAGAAGAAGCAACCGCTACCTTCCGTCAGGTTAGCATGAGCGACTACGGCCCCTGGTACCCCATGGCCAACGGCAGAACTTGCAGCGTCTCTCCGCATCTAATCATCGGCCGCTGCTACGAACCACTCGCAGCGGAGCTTATGCTCGGCACCCACTCTTTGGGTTACGACGTATCCGGCGTGATGGAAGGTCGTGAGTATTCCTCACAGGTCGATACGCGCATGCCTGGAAACAACACGTGGTTCTGGGGCGACTGCCGGGTGGAAACACTTGGATTGACAGAGATTAACGGCGTTGAATGCGGTCTCACGGCGGCGCAGCGCGAAGACCCACGCAAGTGGCAAGCTATTATCAAACTGTCTCACGGCGAAATCAGCCATGCTCTCCGACGCCAGGCTCACATTCCTTCTTCTGGTAGTCGACACTTTAACTCTTCGTCGTCCGCTCCGAGCGGTACCAGCTCACTGCCGAGGACTGGTTTTGCGCAGGTTGCGCAGAACAGTAAACTGGTCAGCTCTGCTATTGGCAGTGCACCGGAGACTGAAGATGATTCCTTTGATGATGTCTTTGGGAATACCACTGATGATCAAGTATCTGGTGGTATCTCTGGGCCGAGGTTTGAGGGCGATCATTCTTCTGGAGAAGATAATTATCCTTTTGCGTAGATTGATTCGATTCGATCTGCCCCTTTGTTTTCTTTAGCGGCATATCCAAGATACCCATGGGGCGTTAAGAAAGCATGGTTTTACCTTAGCCAAATGAGATTATGTGCGAATTGTACAAATGTCCAAGTAGTCAGAGTGTGATAATTCAGTGTGCTCTATTTTCCAAACAGCTATGTAGTGCTGCCAATATCTAGAAGAATAAGCTCAAAATATGAACATGCCAGTGCAACACAACATCCTAAATAAGAACTAGAATAGGTAATATTGCATGGCTATTGCCATTTCATATCTATATACGTTTAAAGAACGACGTACCATAACCTCAAACCGCACTCTGTCCAGCAGCATTCTGTCTAGCGGACCGCCCCTTCTCAGACCACGGGAAATGAATAACAGGGAGCAAAAAGAAACTATTACTACTATCAGCAATACCAGCAAAGGCATTATACCAAGCCAAGAAAGCACCAAGTAAAGCAAAGAATCCACCAGCCTTTATCAATTTTTCATTCGGCACTCCATCCACATTAAAAAGATACCCGAGGGCGAGCAAGAGAAGGGCGATGTCGACGAAGAAAAAGAGGGAGAAGAACGCCACGGGGGATTTGAGAGTGAGCATCGTGACCAGCGTTGTGAAGATAAACCAGCCCTAAAGAGAGCAAGTTAGCGTTAGCTTCCTTTCCCTTCTTTTTGTTCGGAATAACATACGAAGAGATATAGCGCAAATGAGTTGTAAAACATAGTATGGGACCCATTATCTGCCTTTTCGAGAGCCCCGATAATATTAAATCCACCAGGGATAAAAGTAATAGCCAACGAGATCCAGAAACCACCGTATGATGAGAGCACCGTGGCACCGAAGGTGTTACCAATAGCCATTTCCCTGACCTTGTTAGCAAAATCCAAAAGAAAGCCCGCCTATATTTCCATAACATGTCTGAGCAACATACCACATGCCAGCTAATAGTTGCACCAAGCCACCATAAGCCAATGCAGGCCCAACAACGATATTAGGCTCTGTGATGCCCCTGACATCCATGTTGAGACATCCCAGTACAAAGGTAGTGAGAGCAAATGCACATAGGCCTAGTGGTGCCGGGTTGGCGAGCTTGCGTTCTTTGGGAACGCGGTATAGACCTGGCTGTAGGTCACCTCCGAAGGCAGGGTAGCGGGTTGAGGCTGTATGGACGTGGGCCAGGGTGCTAAAGTGGCCTGTTTCGTAGTCCTCGTTGTTTGGAGAACATTTTTTTGTGTCGTTGACACTGATTCTATCTTCGTTGGACATTATGGGCGGAGAGTATGAGGTAGATGGAGAGGTATAGGAGAGGAAGGAAAGGGTTTTATAGTTCGAGAGAAAGAAGGAGTATGGCCAGGACGGTAGTGCAGTAACTCTAAACAATTGTGATGAGAAGGAATGAGAAGGAATCGGATTGGGAGCTCCTTCTGCTTTAGATACGGCGCACACAGTGTGCATAACACCATCTAGGCACATCCTAGGCACCATGGCCACGATGGAGCCAGAATTCTGGGGAAGATCAGCGATAGTGTGGGGGAGGGGCCCAAAAACGAGTCTCGGGAAAGTGATGATCATGCTGGCATTGCTAGCATTGCTAGCAATGCTAGCTAGTATCTAGGACAAAAGGAAGAGAACTTACAGTGGGACCTCCGAGGTATTGGGCGGCATTCCGGTACTACACATAGCACCTTCTACATATGTATGTACTCCGTAGAAGTACAGAATTCCGCCCAATACTTTGCAGGTCCCACTGTAATATGTACCCCATACTAGTGGAGACGGTATACAGTTCCGTAGGTCCGTAGACGTCCACATTGCGAGTACTAATGATAGATCAAGCGAAGATCAACATGCAGATCTCATTCTGAGCTTGAAACTATGGGGAAATATGGAGCTTTCCAAATGGTAGATCTTGGACCTACTTATAACAGAGTTAACAAGGCGGACTGTGTGGGATTTCAGTTTGCCTTTCGAGAGCTTGGGCACTTGTTCATTGGATTATATTGAAGTTTCTTGGCTGCAGGGCTTGGAAGTTCTGTCAATGCCGAATTAAATGCCGAGATGTGCATTGGGTTTGGAGTTGTGTCACTTCCCTGGATTCATATACAAAGTAGTGCATTGAATTCCTACTCCCCTAGCATCCGGGGATTGCCCAGATTCCGGCTGGCCGTTGTTTAGATCGCTTTCTCCCTACGAAAGATATATAAAGAAAAAAGTCGATATATGATTTGCATTAACCTAACTTCAATCAAATCACATGCTAGAGACTAAATATACTCAATAGTTCTTCTGTACAACACCCCTTGCGAACTCCGCAAAGCTCAACCCAGGCTGAACCTCCTCCTCAAGATTTGGCTGCGTAAACACAGCTAGAGTATTCCTAGCAATCTTCTGCCCAGGACTAGCCTTGGCCCCCTTAACAAAATGAGGCACGGCCATAAACTTGCCACGTGTGATCAGCTGCAAGGCCTCACCAGTCTGGAAAGCTAGACAATCTTTAGGAATATTAACTTTAACGATTTCATTAGTGCGCGAGCGGATGTACAATCCAGCCGACGGATCCGGGGAACGGGAGAGTTCCGGGAGAGTGGCAGATGCAGACCCGGAAGACGGATCAATAGTGGGAGGGGAAGCCACTTCGTCGAGGAACATGGCCGATGTCAAGCCAGTCAGACAGCCGTGGTCGAGATGCGTAGCGCACCAGTCGTCGTCACTGGCCTCAGCCTCATCTTCCTCGTTTCCAGGGAAATAATGCAAAAGCCGCGCCTTTGTAGTCAAGCTGGTTGTCACGACATGGTGTAGATATCCAGGCTTATAGCCTTCGATGTTGGCTTCCGCATACCGATCACATGCCCTAGCGACCAGAGCCGCGGTATCAATGATCAACGTACATAGTGACTCCACACTACCCCTGAATTCGGGCAATCTGGTTGGCGAAGGCCAGATGTTTGGCGCGGTATACTGGGGTAGATCTGGGAAGTCATCCGCCGGGGCACTTTCTAGAGAAGCATCCTGATAAAAGGCGCAGTTCACGTAGTACGAGCCCTTGAGTGTGTCGAAATGGCCCGATTTCAGGGTTTCTTTGCCACAGGACCAGCCGACCAAGTATTTAGATTCTGGGCTTGTGAGGGATTCTACGTGGAGGTAAGTTTGATTTTGCGGTTGGAGTCAGGGTGCAGGAATATCTCTGAGGTGTGGAGACTTACCCAGTTCGGGGTCAGAGAGAGCTGCCAGATACGAGGCATTAGAGAGAACCTTTGCGCGCAGGTCGCTGAAGGTCGAGGGAAGGTCTTTGACGACGATGATACCCAGAGAGGACGGGCCAAATGCTTCGGTTAGAGTGTCGAAGGATACGGTTCCTGTATAGCTTAGTATCTACTCTTTTTCTTATATTCTTCTGACCACACAACTTACCATCTACAAGTTCCTGCAGACTGACAGTAACGGCCTCAGCCACCGTGTTGCTCTCCATGATGTGTTGTAGAAACCAAAATCAACTTCCCCGCTTCCAGGCGTTTATCGCACTATCTTTTCAATATCAAACGGCACTCTTCGCCTATCTGCGCTAAAGTTGACGCGATGTTACTCGATGCAGGGATTTCAAGAACATGTCCAATAGGAGTCAAGAATCCCATATTATCTCATTCTTAGTATATCGTACAACCACATCTACCCGTGGACTATTATACAAAAATTCTCACTCGCTACTCGACTGCCCATGCCGTCTAGTGACAGCCCTAAGATTACCGAATGGCAACACATCGCCAATTCGCTTGGCCCCTGTGAACAGCATACAGAGACGGTCAATGCCACACCCCCATCCGCCAGTAGAAGGCAAACCCCACTCCAAGGCTTCGAGGTAGCTCTCGTCTACCTCGCCGGGCTCGCCAGCAGCCTTACTGAACCGCAGCTGGTCCTCGAATTTGCGGCGCTGCTCGAATGGCGAGTTCTCCTCCTCGTAGGTATTCACTATTTCCTTCCCTTCGATAAAGAGTTCGCCGCGCGCGGCGACGCGCTGCTTAGTCGTTGGATGGACAAAGGATTTAGAGAGTGGAGAGAGGCATTCGGGTGGGTTTATGATAAAGGTAGGGTCAATGCATTGCGATTCGACGTAGACGCTGCATAGTTCATCAAGGAGGCGCGGGAGAGTTGGGTTCGTTGGGAGTGGGACGGAAAGTTCGGTGAAGATGGCGCGGACTTTATCTAGAGCGTCGGGGGATTCGAGGTTAGGCAGTTTCTGACCGGTGGCCTCTTCGATTCCTATGAGGAAGTCGATGCGTCGAAATGGCGCCGTGAAGTTGACTGCGGTTGGGTTAAGAGTGCCTGTTGTGTTGAAGGAGCGGATGTGGGCTGCCATGCCGGAGAGGAGGTCTTCGGTGATGGTCATTAGGTTCTCAAGGTTTGCATATGCGTGGTAGAATTCACAGGTGGTGAATTCCGCGTTGTGGGTTTTGTCCAGTCCTATATCTCATCAGCTTTGATAGACATAGTCTTATTTATTTCAACATACCCTCATTGCGGAACGAAGGTCCAATTTCGAAGACCTTGTCAAACCCACCAACCACCAACCGCTTGAGCCATAGCTCCGGTGCGATTCTTAGCGACAGCTGGCGGTCTGGGAACTCAGTGGCGGAGGTATTGAACGGACGAGCAATTGCGCCGCCTGCCACAGACCCGATGATCGGAGTGCTGACCTCCATAAAGGACCGGTCGATGAAAAACTGGCGTAGATATTGTACAAGAGCCGCGCGGGCTCGAATGATATCGGCCATCGCGGGGTTGGCCAGGAACTGAACATGTCGAGGGTAGGGAGAGGTCTCGTGCTCAGTATCGTGAACGGGAACATCATGCAGACAGGGCGAGAGCAGCTGCGGCAACTCGCTCACATCGACAGTGAGCTCGCCTCGTCCGGTGCGGTGCGGTCTACCGGTTACAGCTAGAATGAATAGCATTTAGCGGCGACACTCAAGTCAAGCCGGGCAGAGACCAGACATACAGAAAGCGTCACCGCGACGCAAAAGACGATAGAACTTCTTGAAGTCCTCGGGAGAGACACCGTCCAGACGACGCTGATTGCACATCACCTGGATTTTATGGCCATCTTGCACGATATCGAAGAAGATCAATTTGCTTCCCGCGAGTCTATAGGTACGGATTCTTCCTACTATTCTAAGTACATGGGCATTGCAAAGGCCAGAGAGCAGAACCTACCAGAGACGATGACTGTATCTTCTACAGAATCATTGTCGGCGAGCCCGGCGTAGCGAGAACGAAACTCGGCACAGCTAACTGTGCGTTTATCCACCGCCAGGCGAGGGTATGGGTCTGAACAGGCATCTTTGATCTGCTGTACACGCTCCTGAAAAGCCTTCCCTGGCGATGCTGCCGAGCTATTCTTTCGAATTGACTGTATGGTTAGTCGTGATGTGAAGGGGATCTGAATACGGGATTGTCTAGCGAGTCGCAGTCCTGCACTGAAGATTCTGGGTTAGCAATGTTCGAGAAAATAGAAACAATTGGTCCAAGATTAAGCATTGAGCTTTGTCAGATAAAATCCAGTACGTTCAAATGTCCAAAAGGACATCACTGTAGCGGTTCTAATGCGGGGATATATCATCATATAAGGGGAAATGGGAAATGAGAGAGTAAGACAGTAAACAGTAAATGCAAATCTTACCTGTTTTGTAGGCAAAAGCCATATAGAGCCCATCTAGGGCGAGTTGAAAGCATAGCAAATTGGCTCTGCTTTCACATTGTTGAGAGAAGAGAAGAGGAAAAGAAAAAAGAAACGGCAGAACCGAGTTTTTCCACGCGGGTGGGCCCAAGCTTCTCCGACCTCCCGTGCTCCGAATACGTTGGACTCTCTGGTGCTCTACTCCACATATCTAGCCTCTCATCAATTACCATCTACATTTCAAATCTATCCCAAACACATATACATCATGTCTTTCCTCTTCGGCGGTGCCCCCAAGATGTCCTCGGCAGAGAAGATCGCTGCTGCCGAGACAGAAGTTGAGATGATCTCAGACATGTTCAACCGGTAAGCCCAAGCTCTACAAAAGACTCGAGCGCTGTAGCTCGATTCAGAAATGGAAGACTGCAGAAACTCCTATCCTAAATCTCCCTTCAAACGTTCCGTGTCCCTATACCATTCTAACTTGATACCGTCGCGATTATAGCTTGACCGAGTCCTGCACCAAGAAGTGTGTCCCCGCCGATTACCGCGAAGGCGACCTCAACAAGGGCGAGTCCGTCTGCCTCGATCGCTGTGTGTCCAAGTTCTTTGATGTCAACATCAAGGTCAGCGAGAAGATGCAGGGTGAGGCCAATGCCAACAAGCAGGGCGGCGGCATGGGCTTCTAAACATGTCGACAACGAAATTTCTTGAAAACGAGCTCTGGTAGTCTTGAAACTGGAGAGCTCGGTGGTCTTTGTTTCTGTGTAAGGTTATTTGACTGGTTCTGCCTACTGAAACTGGGCCTGTTTTGAATGATGGTTCACGTTTATACCATCACAGATGGGAGGCACGATCGCCGGTCTATCTCTATGTACAATATGGTGGATAAGGGAAAAACAGAGAATGAAAAAAAGAAAATATCATACAAATGTCGTCACTGGGTCGAGAAGCCCATGGATCGCGCTATCCATGCGGCCCAGGAAGTGTCGTGTTCTTCCTCGCCTTTGACCAGAGCTTTGATTCTTGTCTCTACATTCACAATGTGACGGTCAAAGTCGCTCAGGCCGGCTTCCATGTCATCAACTTTGGACTCAAGGACATGTAGTTCGTAGTCCAATTTAGCGCCTAGCAACTCGACGCGTTTCACTCCATCGGCGAGGTGGTGGCTTTCATCTATGAGAATGTCACTAGATCGTTCGCGCAGTCTCTGGTAGTCGGCGAAGCGTTCCAGGTAGACTGAGTTGAGCTCTTCGTGTCGGTCATAAAGGAGTTGATTGAGACCTTCCACAGAATCCACTTGCCGCTCAACCCAAGGCACGGTATGCTGGCTCAACTCTTGAATCCGCGAGCTGAAGACGCGCCCCTCTGAGGCAAGCATGTCTTCTTGAACGATAGCCTCCTCCAGATTATCGGTTTCTTTGAACGCTGGTTTCCCGCCTAGCGGCTCCCATTTGAATACCGCTTCTTCAACTGTGCTGAACGACAGGTGTCGTGCGCAGAAGTTGTCTCGACGTTCAATCTCCCTTTCAGGGCTTCTGAATTCTTCGTAACTTTGTGACCGCCGCAGGGCCATCACAGCTATCCCGCTGATCGAACCGGCACGGTCACGTTCGCGATCCGATGACGCTGCCGTCGACCGAGACATAACGCGTTCCATATCTGAGTCTTCCTCGATGATTGGAGGCTGCTGTGCAGCGGGCCAGTCTTGAGCTTGTGTTTCTGGCTCATCTTCAGGCACAGGTTCGATATGGATTTCAGGAGCTTTTCTCTCGGTGTCGGGAATCGGCGGTGGTTGAGGTTTCTCTTCTTCAATGAGCTTTTCTATGTCGTTTGATATTTTTCTTTCTGACCGGAGACCAGAGTCAGTCCGCGTTTTTGTTGATTGTGCCTCATTGTCACTGTCGATGGATGGATGGTATGCGAGATCGTGCGTCAGCTCGGAGCTATCTCGTGAATGATGATGGTGATGTCGAAGACCCTGCAGTCCAACTGCATCTTTGAAGCGTCCTAATCCTGCTCGCGCGTCTGAAACTCGTCCGCTGACACCCTTCTTCCGGTGATCTTTCTCCTCGGCAGTCTGTTCTGGCATCTTCCAAGAGCGATCTAGCCCTGAGCTTACTCGCTCGGCATTCATATCCTCTATGGAATGCTTCTTGCGACTGGTCCAGACATAACCGCCTTGTTCATCGGTCGTAAACATCATATCTGATCCAGCCCCGCGAGTAAACCCATCTTCGACGCCACTCTTGCGCGGTTTACCCAGCCACAGCCACTTCGCTCTCTCACCATTGCAGCACTGTACAAAGGTGTCAAGATCCAGTGTTTCTATATCAGCAATGCCACCTTTGTCGCGCCCGCGGACCATCCCCATAACCATCTCACCACCCTGCCCACTGAGCTCTGCCATGGTTGACTTCACTGCATCGGTCCAGCCTTCTGCATTGGCAGCCTTGGCCGTGACGCGGTGTAAACGGTCCAATGTAAGTCGGTCCAATCTTCGCGACCGCCTCATTTTTTGAGATTTTTGGAATCCACCGATTCCTCTTTTCAGATTGAGGATGTCGAAGGCGTCTTTCCCCACGGGGGCCCCATAGGCGTGCAGTCGATTTCGAGCTCCGAGCAACGTACCCAGCAATGCAGCCACACCAGTGGGTCCTAGGCTACTATCACCTGGTTCAATGTTGTACAGGTCTGTCCCGATATCTGTCCACCAATCGCTGACAGCTGCCTCGGTCACATCACAAAGTAGCCCGTCCACATATTCCGGCGCTAGCTTGTCAAACATCACCAAGGCAATCTGGCACTGTTTGACCAATTCCATAACAGCATGGTATAAAGGAACCCTCTCGCTGGTTCGGTACAGCTGATGAAACTTGGCTTCGGTCGCCGCTGAGGGAGATTGAAGCTTCAAGCTAGCGCGACCTGCGCACCCAAGTCTCTTTAAATCTTCATTCACAATAAAGTCTTCCCGGTGTCTTTTGATATCGCCATTTGGTATTGGAATTAGGCTTAGGGCAGACGGAAATGAGGCCAGATCAGTAACCATGACCGTCCCTAGTGGTGTTTCCTTACTTCTGGCGTGACATTGCTTCATGGCGTCAAAGTACATCCGCAAGCGAGGCGACCATGTAGCCTCATTAGTTGGAACACTTAATACCCCCACAAACACTGTATGCGAAGGGTCACCGGTATAGGTCGAGATGATGAATGTCGGATGCACACGAGAGCAGGCCCATTGCTCAACGATATAGATCTCATAACCTTGCAATGTTACACGTCGCTGGAGCACATCAGTCGAGGGGTCTTCTTCGAGGTATCGGAGGGCAACCGCATCGGTGAACACAAGTCGCTGGTGGCCCTGCGATGAGGGACGTTCGGATCCAGTTGCGTGGGAGTCGGCCTCCGAAGGCTTGGAGTCGGTACGATCGACCGGAGGAACACTCGGGGCGTTTGTCTGCATGACGGCTACCTAGTCTCCTGCCCAAGCTTATTTGCCAAGGGACAGAAATGAAAGTAGCGCTGATCATTCAACCCTAAAACAGGTCACCGCTCCTAAGCTCAAGATGCGAAGAGAGTGCCGACCTTCCTTCGATCCTCCTGGACTCTTAGTCAGGTCGAAACAATTGTGACATATCCAGGCAACAGGATTTCATGCATAGTATGAGCCTGAATTAAACGGAGAAAGCCAAATCCAATATCCAATATAAGCGAACGCCTTGCAAACCACATAACCCCCCAAAGTGTGCAGAAGTGGCGACGTCATCCCGTGCCTCATGGCGGACATATCATGTGACCATGGCTGTTTATTTTGCAACCTCAGGCATCAACATTTGTATAGATGTGTTTTGAGGAACGTGTTCTACTTCTTCCTTCCCTTTCTCTGAATAATATTTCTATCTCAATTGGTTTATCCCATTATAATGACTCCTCTAGATCCTGCTGGTTTAGCCAGAGCGCAATTCAAGAACCCCTCAAGCCCGACAGAAGCCATCACCACCAATCACCTTCAACCAACCGAAAGAAGCTAACCACCAGCGGAAGAAAGGGTTTGTGAAAAGAACGGAGCTCTATAGCTACTGCACCGCACTCAAACTATTATGTAAGGGCTCCGACAATCCTAGTAAACAGGCATTTATTAGTGTTTATGTGGGAAATAATACAGCCATTTTACCACTAGACCATAACAAAAACCAAGGTTCCTGTTTAAGGCCTAGGGGGGCCATATCCCAGTCTGACAGTTTATCTACAGGTTCCATGTGGTAAACTACTAGCACAGTCAGCTAACACTTTTAGGATAAGTCCTACTAGGCATTTATTTTCGATACAAGCGCCATTTATTGTAGTATCACCATAGTAAAAAATCACAGAGACCTGTGCCAGTAGTAATTGAGGCTGCGCCAACAGTGTTTACCGTTCCATATACCAATACTGAACATGGGGATTCTCCCACTCCCTCCTAGAAGGCCACGATCTTCAAGCCCAAGGAACTGCATGCATACCAGACCTTACACAATAGCAAATTGGTCTCCAGTTCACACCAAGCGTTCTTGGAGACCAAAACAAAAAATGTTATCTCTCGGTCAGTAAAATCGCAACCGATCTAACTTTCGGGTGGAAGCCCGTGTATGGAAAGTTGGTCGACTGCATTATAGATGTTCTTTTAGGTGTATGCAAAGGCGGTAAAGATCATAAACTGTGTAGATGACATTTTCATGTACAACATTGATAGTTGACTTTGCACTAGATGTATATAGCAAAGAGTAGACACCGACAGTGGGGGCTGGCTGTAGCCCCCAGTGTCAAGTACGCTTGCATCTCCCTAAGGCAGGTTTAATGGAAGAGAAACACAGGCAATATGATTCTTCCATGATATAAGAATATCCTGTTAGGCAGAAAGAGCTACTCCACCGCTATGCCCCGAGACAAGCCGAGGGAAAAGACTTGAATGGTGAAGGGGTGATATAGGGAAGGAGCAAAAAAAGAATCCATGCTCAACTACTCCTGGCGAGGATCGAATCACTGACCAGTTTCACCATTGCTAGGCTTCCCAATGCGGTATCACCCGTGCTCATTGTTCCACCTAGCAATCAGATGACCTCGTGTCTCTCACCCACTCGGCCACCCAGAGAGGATTTTGCTAGCTTGCGTTTGACTTGAGTCAAGTAGACCACCTGGTGATCATTGAACCAATTCTTCTCCCTTGCAACAGGGCCCATATTTATCCAGAAGGCCTTAAGCTTTACCGAGCGAATTGAATTCAAGTTCGATATTATATGCGAAAACTCCTCCCCCAGGCTTACTCTTATAGTGCTATTATTATTATGAAAGTAGGCTTTATTAGGTAGGTCTTTTCATGAAGTCGTGCTTTGACAAAAGAACTTCTCCCCAAATGTCCACATACGTGGTAATTTCCTCAAGAAATGCTCCTGCAGGGCCTTTTCTGTCGAGATTAATCGCGCCTAAAAGTCGTGGAGACATGTGTCACAAAGATTTGCAATGCCACAATGCCATAAAGGAATATTTGGACTAGTATCTCCATCAAAAGCTGCCTGCACGGCCATTCCAAATGCTGTCGAGGGCATTATAGGACAAGATATCACCTAACCAACGGCTTCCATGTTAGCGTAAAGTAATGCGCCACGACGGAGACCTAGTGTAATTTTGTTCTCTTCACGAGGATGTCGGAAGTAACTAAGGAAGTGAGTAGTCTACTAGAGCTAAGCTGTCTATCAAAAGATATGTAGATTCCGTACCATAAACAAATAATCTTTAAACTTATCCCACGATGAGTCTTGACCGAATAAAGACCGTACACATATAAATCCCCACGCCGGATACTGTTCAGTATGTTTCTCAGTCCCCTCTGGTTCCGTATTTTCGATATCATCTTACATTTCATCCTTTCCGATATGGATATTCCTGTCCCTTCGCATCTGTCAGTTCCTGCACAAAACTCCGTCAGTGGGCCGAAGCAACAAAGTGGTCAGAGTGGTACGTCAGGGTAGCTGACAGACGAGAACTTGACCCACCTACACACTCTCTCAGTGACCTCATAATCCTCCATAAAGGCATTTGGTAGTCCTTCAGGGTAAGGGAAAACGACGGAAGCAGGATTGGGGTAAAAATTAGTTCCTTGGGATGATACTGAGTCTCTATTCAATGGAATGACCTGATGGGTTGGTGTGTTATGATTCTCTTTAAGACCATCCTAATATAAACTCCCAGCAAGAGAAACTACGTGGTTCAGTATTCTTCGGATATTCGGAACTAGATGCTAACTCCTCTACGGCAACTAAGACATCGAGAAGAAAAAGCAAATTTTGGAGAGCCATCACCAGGATACTCGACCAGCGAGAGGGCAGACACATTTCACATTTTTAGATAATTGTACCATGTTATGAGCCAATCAATTCCAATCATGTGCTCCAAAAGCTCTAGGATGTCCACCTCCAATCACCTCCACGTTGGGGTATTTAGCGTCCACCATGCTGTAAAAACGTCAGCAAGACTCATATGAATAAACAAGCTAGACATACTCCTCCCTGAGGACCACCGGGTCCACCATGTCCGCCCTGGTGCTGTCCAGGACCTCCCGGGTGCTGCGGGTGCTGCGGGTGCTGCTGTCCTTGGAATCCGCCCTGAGGTCCTCCGAAGCCTGGACCACCGGGACCACCAGGGCCACCAGGGCCACCGTTATGTTGAGGATCACCCTGGGGTCCGCCGGGACCTTGCTGGTGGCCCTGTTGGTGGCTGTGTTGCTCGTTTTTCTCGTGCTCGTTGTGCTTATCGTGCTTGTCGTGGTGGCTGAAGAGACCCATGGTTGATGGTGGTATGAGGAAGTAGGGTGGTGGTGGATTGATGAACAGGAAGATCGAGGGGGTATTTGAGTGTGAGTATAATGCTGCAAAGAAAAGGATGAAGAGGTACCACCCTGCCCTTTATAGGGACTGAATGGCGTCACTGGCCAGAATGCTAAACTAGGGCTAAGATGCTATGAATCGAGCCTAGTCTTAGATGCGGATGATGGTGGCATCACTTACGACTGTCCATGTGGAGTAGCAGAAGCGTATGATTGGGATGAGCTACTTCCGCCCCCTACAAAGTACTATGAGAATCGATCGAGGAAGATCTAACCAAATCCTGAATCGATTCCATAACTACAATATATATCAAAGTTCGGGTAAAATTCTGTCATGAAGTTGAGCCCGTAGCACTTGAGCCTGGATACCAATACAAACAGCCAAGCTCTGCAACACAATATTGGCATTTGCAGATAATATTGGCGCCTACGCATCAAGTGTCGATTGTTGGTTGGTCCTTGGCCGCTGAAGCTTGGCATTGGGGCTACACGCCGATGCGTACGTATGCCTCCCCACAGCCCCAGCCCTACTCTGAGTACCGAGAAATTCCATCGTCTAATTTTTCTACAGGTTTTGAGGGAGCCAAGAGCCGTTCTCGGGGTTAATTGCCGTTGTTTTAGGTCGAGGTCGGTCGTAGGCATCATAGCCGTTAAGTGGAACTAGGGTTCCAACAGGTTATTTCAACTAATCTATCTTGGGTATATCGGATAAATCGATTCCAAAGAGAAATTATTTGCGGAAGTTACCATCTCTTGAGCAGTCAATCGAGGCTTATTTTCATACAGGAATTGCCGCATAGGAGGATAGGAAGAAAGTCTTGGTATTCGTTTCACTGGCAAAAAAGATATATACTATGTACATTTTGAAAAGGGTGCTAACCGAGAGAACGCTATAACAGCCAAGCGTCTATACACAAGGCCTAACCAAACCATGGGTTAAGGCAATAAGGCCATGCTCATCTCGAGTTGTTGATATCCCTTTGGATTGTGAAGATTCCTTTGGGTGGATGGCATCAGATCGACAATCAAAGAGAGAATATAACCAGTGAAAACAAAGGCAATTACTTTGGAGTGGATTAGTTCAGTACAAGGCAGTGTAGATGTGGATCATATATATACTTACCCCATTCTAGAGTAGCCGCCATATTATTCTGCTGGTAGTGGGTATGCTCGGTGACCCGGAAGACAATAATGAGCACAAGCTCAACGACAATGAACGAAGCTTTGATAACAAAGCTTGTCATGAGCATAGGCTCCCGCAAAGCATGTGCAATGCCTAGGTATATATAATCCAAACACATCAAGGCTGCGCTGACTAGGAATCCCACACTGGAGCTGTCAGTACGATGCAACGCACGTGTATATCGATCTTGATGGGGGGGCTTACATAAAGATCGTCACGCAGACATCATGCATGAAATGGTGTGCGATGTTGTCGAGGACGGAGAGCATAATCAAGCCAATACTCCCAACGACTGTGAAAAAGAATGAACCGTGCGTGCACATTTTGTTGATATATCCCTTGTTTTGGACATGTTGATAGAAAGAGAGGTTTAGGAGCAGGACTGTCGTGATACAGCCGAGCATGAATAAGGGCTTTAGTTCCTGGGCTCCAATATCTGAAATGAATCTGTCAAAGCTGTTAGCTAAATCTTGGCATGGCGATCGGGATAACCGGAAGAGGTAAATGCTCACGGTATATTTTGACCAGGCTTCATCAAGCCATATCTTGGTTCACCGATCATAGTCCAATGACCCAGCATAGCGAGTAGCATTGCTAAATCCAGTGTTAGATCATTACCCAACGAGACCATGGACGATTGAAAAGCTCACCAAGCCAAGTGGACGCGGCTACGGTCGGAAGAAGCCAGGAAGGGGGCGACATAATGGTGTGTGCGTATAGCTAAGGAGTGTGTTTTGGAGCAGCAGTCATAGTCTTGTTATAGCGACAGTATCAAAGAACACAGGCTGGTGAAGTTGGATACCAGCCACATGTCTTTACTCGAGCAGTTGACAAAGAGAGAAAGTGGTCCTTACGTTAGGAATAAGGCAACAAGAGATTGTGCCTGTCGATCCCTGCTCTTCTGCCCCTATGACGAAGGTCAGTTATGGAATGTGGGTCTATTAAGGAATTGGCAGCCCCTTGATCGTTGTTTCGTGTAAGAAACGCATGTTTCGTATATGAAAGGTAGAGGTGCATTTACAAAATTAGTACAAAGATCGTGTATTTTTAATGTCACGCACTTGAAACTTGGGGGTAGATAATGAATAATATGGCATGCTTTGACTGATGTCTCACAATGAAAAGTTTGATTGTTTGTTGATCCGCCCATCTCCGTAAAACAGTTATGTACTCGAGTAGTTATCTTTCAGTATCATCAGTGGGAGCGGGGCTGGGGATATGCTCGTCGATGCGAGAAAAGCAAAGCATGTATCATGTACGGAGTACTCGGTACATCGTACTTGATACATCGTAGGGAGTGCGATACCCGAGATGTGGAGGTGGACAAGATCTCCTCGTGCATCAACAAAAACTGAATCCACATTGTGTCCATCGCCTGTCAATGTAGTGTATCAATGTTGCATCAAATCCCGATATGTATTCCCTAGCAAGCCTCAAAGGAATTGGGGTTTCAAAAGCAAGTCCCATGGCCAGTCTAGAACCTAGATCTAAGCCCAGAACAGTTCCCACTCCCGTGACTGCGACCGTGTCTGCACGATGAATTCGGATACCGATCTTGAAAAGAAGAGGGGTTGATAAGTGCAGGGTATCTGTGAATTCGATATTGGATGTGTCATAGGGGCATGTGCGAGGACGCAGAGACGGATGGGGGTGGGAGACAGCAGGATCCTCCCCATAAGGTCGATACCCACAATGAGGTATCTAGCACGCGACTTCGACCGACGTTTGACAGCACAGCAACTTTCCTGTTAGAGAAGGGAACGAGATCTGCTTTGTTAGTAGGGAATGTAAAGGGACCTACACTGAAAGGCAACTGAGAGATGTTCTAGTGATATGTCAGTAATGTAAATCTTTAACAGATTGGCCTTTTGGATTATTGGAGCTCCATATCGAAATGAAGGAATGAGGCTTGTTGATCGTGTGTTGTTCAACCATCCACTATCCACTAGCGGCCGACTAGGCACCAGCCTAGATTTGATGAATCCATCTGTGAAGCCGATGATTCAACACAGTTTGTTCACTTTTATCGCGCAAATCTCCACCGTACAAGGGTGCACAGCCAGGGATAGTGTAGAACCCCCTGAAACATTCTCCAACTAACTTAGACCTCATCAGTGGAGCAGTGCTGAGACGACTCCCGGGACGCGCGGGATTTCATGCAAGGAATAAGGAACCGACTTGATGACAAGGACACAGCAAATGACCAATTCAAAACGTAGGACAGCTTCAGCAGCAAGGAATGTACTCCGTACCATGTCAAAAGGAGAACTGATCATGATCGAAGGTGGAGCCAGGGGAGCAGTGGGCCTGTAGTACATAATTCTGCCTGGCAACGGGCGGATATCGGGACGCGCAACACCACAACATTCATCAGGACGCGATACACTAATAATTGTTTTGAAAACACTTGTTGGGTAGCTACAAAGGTCTACAGGATGTATCTATCTCTTCTCCAAGAGCCACCAGCATGGGCAGCAAGTAGTGAAAAGACTTCAAGATACTTGAGGGTGACAGCGAGGTCTCCCATCAAAGGATCTTGTTCAACTCGAGGACTCAAGAGTCAAGGAGATGAGGCAGTATTGTTTCAAAAATTCCCAAGCGTTCCCTGAGGCCCACTTGAAGCAGTCAATTTGGTAGTTTTCAACTAGCAAAAACACGATCTCGGATGTCTCCTCACTGATACGTGTAAAACCCGTGCACTAGGATGGAGAAGAAAAGAAAAAGAGAAGGAAGATCGGGGCCGGGGCCAGGTATTTATAATTTCTCACGGCTTAGCGCGGCAAAAGTGGGCGACACGGCCGGAATAAGGATAATCCGATATGGTCTGAAGGTCGGTGTGACTGGCGGAAGAACAATAATCCGGGATAATCCGAAGTAAATCGGAGTATGGAGTAAAACCAGCATAAAAACCCGGGGCCGAGAAATCGGAGTAGACCATAACAAAGCCGGACCAATCAACCCAGACAAAATGGGAGCTGATAATATATGGATGGATGGATTTGAAAGACAGTACTCCGTGTCTGTTGCCAATACGTATGTATGTACGGAGTAAAGCATAGGTACATTGTAACCTCGGGAGATTGAGAGCGGAAGAATGATTTCCCGGAGATGAGAAGCTAGATCTGGAGTCTTGGAAGGGTTACAGGATGGGAATTCAGAACATTATTTGATAATTTACATCTGCTCTAAGTGCGATCATACACGTAGCACCCACATAGCTGAATAGATTACACGGGTTATAAATGTTCTAAAACACGATTCCTGCAAGATTATGGCGTTAATGCGTCGGGCTCTGTGCTGGATATATCATTGAATGGAATGAATACTACATACTTAGGTATGTATGGAGTATACCTGTATTATTGCATGCAGAGTAAGACTCCCAGCTTCATTCAAGGAATATATGTGCTCATCCACAACATAGGATTCCCTAGTGCTCCGATAATCACTTGCCATTCACTCTCCGGATGGAGGGGTTGAATCACGTGGAAGATCACCCGGAACAGCTCGTCTGTGTTTGGTTTCAACTGGTTTCCTCTCGTCACCATTCTAGCTGCAGGCAAATATTCCCTGGACTCCGTCAATATATTGTATATTGGATTCAATTTGGAAGACGCGTGATAAAGAGCTCTTATCTGACGTTCTCCACATGGCGAGACTCGGTAACCGCTCCAGTCATCTCCGAGCCAGTCAACCGAACCCCATCTGCAATGGAAGTAGTGCAAAAAGAACACAGCCGACTCCTGAAGAGGACTGAGGGCTCTCAGGGCATCAGGAATGTTCAGTCTGCTATTGATTTACTACAGTCTGCTCGTGATGCGATAGCTGCTGGTCAGTAGCTAGTAAACGTGCCCCTCCGCCACGTTCTTCAACTGACGACACCGGCTTCTCTCAAATAGATCCATCCGGTGCCTCTGCCACTCTAGCCACCCTTCAGACCTCGGTGAAATCGTCCTTCGATTCTATCAATGACAGCTTGAAAGAGACTCACAGTGGCCTCAACAAATACACCAAATCTCTAGACAAGGTATCCAAAATAATGACCATCCATGTGTTACCACTAATCTAACATCCGAAATAGCTTTTCAAAGATCGACCATTGCCTAGCACCGACGACGATGGCCTCTCCGCGCAAGAACACCTTATCAACCGCGCCATCGCCATGCATCTCCTTCGCGAAGGCCAGTTCGGCGTGGCCGCCACCTTCCTCTCCGAGATTGCCGAACAGAAGACAATAAATCCAGTCTCCCCAAATGGGCGTGGACCGGCCAGCACATCAACCAGCTTGCTCGATATCGACGAAGTTCCTTCGACCGAGATCCGGAAACAATTCGCCTCGATGTACTATATCCTACAACAATTACAAGAGAACAAGAACCTATTGCCTGCAATTGAATGGTCGAGGGAAAATCGCGAGTCGCTGGAAGCGCGAGGCAGTAACCTCGAATTCGAGCTCTGCCGATTACAGTATGTATGGCTGTATCATGGCGGAGCGAATAGCCAGGGAACTACAAGCGGGTGGCAAGCTGCGCTGGAGTATGCACGGCGGGAGTTCCATGTCTTTGTGCCTCGATATTTGCGAGAAGTCCAGCAACTAGTCGGTGCAATGGCATACTCGCCCAACCTCGGCGGGTCTCCATATGCAGCTCTCTTCAACAACACCTCGGCCTGGGATGACGTAGCTCACTTCTTCACTCGCGAATTCTGCTCTTTGCTGGGTCTTTCAGCGGACTCGCCGCTCTATATTGCTGCTACAGCGGGCGCGATTGCTCTGCCGACATTATTGAAACTGCAGACCATTATGAAGTCGAAGCGGACGGAGTGGACATCCGAGAACGAGCTTCCGGTAAGGCAACAGCTACTCTATGTGCGGATCAAGGCTAATATGTGTATATTCAGGTCGAAATACCGCTCCCTCCCCAGTACCTCTTCCATTCTATCTTTGTCTGTCCGGTGTCAAAGGAGCAGGCGACCGATGAAAACCCTCCTATGATGATGCCATGTGGACATGTTATTGCAAATGAATCCCTGAAACGCCTGGGCAAAGGTAACCGGTTCAAATGCCCGTATTGTCCTAGCGAAAGTCACCCCAAGGACGCCAGGAAAGTATTCCTGTAAGGTAGGTCTTCCACTTCTTTCTTTTTCTTCGTCTTCCTATCTCTGGGTATTTTCTTTCCATGGCAAGCGGTGATACGACGGATAACTTCGGGACCACCGGATCTTGTCAAGAGCGTTTAGCGTCGGCGTTCAGGGGCTCATAGGTTGCGACATTGCAATGCAGGTCCATTCAAAGCTGTACGGAGCACTGCAATTATTTAATACAAACTTGATACTTGAACAAACCCAAGTTCAAAGATAAATCAATAACCTTACCATTCCAAGGCTTCCCAATGTACTTCGTACAAGTATCAATTCCAAGTGAGAAGATCAGAATTTGCCTCAGATACAAAACAAATAATCCACCGCAATCCACAACTATTTCCTAAGCGGGAAATCGTAATTTCCTTTATCTCAATGGCGACATATGATTGGCCAAATCGGGGCCCGTGACCACGCGCCCATTTGGCGACTCAAAAAACCCCTTTACGCGGTCGAAACCCATTTATGACGCGTCTTTCGCCGAGCTCGGCTCCTCTGCGCAGGTTAATTGGAGCTATCCAGCAGATCATCCGTATATAAACCGTCCGTCCTGTAATATCCACGAAGTACGGAGTACAATATATGTATGTGACTTGTCTCCGTAACAGACGGGAGCTTGCAGTCCTCACTATCTTTTATAAATAGGGCCCCATCTGCCCCTGGATCCATCCACTGCTGTCTCTGTATTCTCCCCAATCTCGTCTCTCATCCAGACCATAATATATTAGCAATGTTGTCTAAGAGAAACATAGAGAGTCCAATTCCTGGCCGGTATCGCGCGGCGAAGGCTTCGGCTTTCACGCTTCAATCGCGCAGGGTTCCTCGCGAGAGAACCAAAGACAGAGCGCCCAAAGACAAAGAGCGAGACAGTTCTGGTTCTGGCTCTGGTTTGATTGGCAGTAAGACTCAGCGACTCGAGCGTCGAAGATTCGACAAACCCCCAGATGTAACGTAAGTCCTGTCCACAACATGGATGTATCTCCATCTCTATCTGCGTCTCATCATCATCCATGTCACCAATTCATAAACCCAACGACTAACCCAACTCCCAGAGCCCCCGCAACAAGCCCAATAGTAATGCTCCGCGTTGGCCCGCAAAAGCGCCTCTTCGCCGCCCACGAAGACATCCTCTGCGCATCCCCCTTCTTCGCCGCGCATTGCGCAGCCCAAACACCAAACCCGAATGCGCCACGGCCCAGACTCCCCCTCCAACCACCAAGCAAGCGCATAGACCTCCCAGACGAGCAAGCTGAAGTCTTCTCCTGCGTCCTCGAGTATCTTTACAAGGGCGATTACTACCCGCGCCTGCGACATAACCGCAAGACGCAGACATGGGAGCTGGAGGATGCAGACGCGGGTGTTGGCACCAGTGGGGAATTGGGCCAGGCGACAGCGACGGTGTTTCATCATAGTGCGCGGGGGGTGATATTGCGGGATACGGCTATTTAGTAAGTGTTCCTCTTCTTGGCTGTTTTCATTTGATTATGATTGTGTAATGTGTGTATACTAACATATCCTTTCCTCGGCAGCTGCGCAGCAGAAAAATACAACCTCCCTCATCTACAGCGTCTCGCGCTGCGCAAGCAGGGCCTACACACCGGGATTCAGTGTAGCACGATACTTGCGAGTGCGCGGTTCGCGTACGATAACACGCCGGATACGGAGTCGAAGTTGCGAGCGCATTACCTTGCGCTGATCGTGCGCTCGCGGAGCACTTTTATGCGCAGTGGGACTATGCAGGCGGAGATGGAACGTGGAGGGAAGTTGTTTTTCGATCTTTTTGTTGCGTTGTGTAATCATATGGTGAGTTCACTTTCTTCTTTTGGGAAAAATCGAGTGCTAATCTGGTGTACAATATAGGATGACTATACTGGCCAGTCAGTTGATAGTTCAGCTGTTACGACTCATTGTTAGAGATGTATTGGGATTCTCGGTCTAGGCGGTAATTTGGTTGTTGGATTTGGACTAATTGCTCGGTTTCCATTCTATATCGCTGCTGGCAGTGTTTTATACCCGTGTGCTACTATGTTTCAATACAGAATGGAAAGCATTGATTGATGTTTGTAAAGTCATGAACAACGTCTGTAGGGCTCCTTTTGAGAATAGGTAAAGAGAGCACTTGGGTCTCGAGGGGATGCGAAAGTGGTGAAGATGTGCGTGAAGAAGCAAGGCGTGACTACATAGCTAGACTACAACATTGCCGGGGGAGGCGTAAGTAGAAGTTAGCTTACCGTAGATTTATTCATAGGTCTAGGCTTACAGCCTGAGGTAATTGGTAAAAAGAACCTTGGATATGAGGGATAAGTGAGAGAGAAAACAAGCACGAGATAAGTAGGGGTGAGCATACATTATTCTGTTGGTGTTAAGTGGGTGTTTATTTGCTAAGGTATGTATAGAAGAACTTTGGAAGGTTAGCAGTAGATAGGGTGGAGGAACAACCATAGATGAATCAGAACTAACATTACAGGGGACAGTCTACTACTATGTCTATTGCGTTCTGACTCCGGAATCTTCTATCCTCTGAATCCGAGATGTGTAGTTGGCGTTTCGACTGATTGGGCCGTATGTATATCGCTGCTAGCAGTGGTTTATGCCCTTGTATTACTGTATTTTATCTACAGAATGGAGAGCATGTTCGAAGATAGTCAATTTCTCGAAGCAATTGATTCGTAAATTCGTAAAGATAGGATTTAATTTAGTCCAGCTAACCCAATTTTGACATATGTCACATATTGGGCAAGCGTGGACTCGGTAACACCGATGAAGCTGGCGCTTGTCCGGGCGATGACCAAGTGTCATGCTGCTGGTGTGCAATGTGTATCGCGTCGGGCCAAAATCCTTCGGCAGCGGTGTTACCTGATCAGCCTGAGTATTATAGTGTGCTGAATAATATAGCTGTATGAATGTAAGTCATAGACGGATGCATACCTGACGGCTTTGAGTGTGCTGGTAATCAACGAGGGAGTTGTCGATGAGCATTGGACGAGACATTAGACGAAATGGGGCTCAAACAAATTTGCAGTGCATTGTCACCCAGAAGCGTCTTTAGACACCTGTGCCCGGGAAAGCGCCTCCCTTGCTCAGGACGACGATGCCCCGATCCCGTGCAATGTATCCTTTCATGAGTCCCTAAGGGAGCGATATGTCAGTAAGGACTTAAGGATTGACCATACTTATTAGCATACCTTATAGATGAGGTTGGAGAGTAAACACTCCACCTCATCGATGTCGATGCGCGATCGACCACTTGTGGGAGTACCCACACGGAGAGCTGCCGCGAATTCATTCACATGGACACGGGTACGCCGAACTGCATTTTGACCTTCCTTGGGTTCGTCGAAACCACCAGCGAGGAAAACCTTTCGGAATAGATTGCGTAAGGCAATGTCACGTCCACGTTCCAACGGCAGGTAGATACGTCTCTTTACAAACTCTTCCTCGCCGGCAGACATAGCCTGGTCGAATCCAACCAAGTCACCCTTTCGGATGCAGTTCGACAGCGGCCGGAACAGGCTCTCAAGCCGCGGGAATGGCGCGAGAAGCTCCTTGGTGGGGAGCGTGTGTGTGGTAACGAGGTGACAGGGAATAAGGTAAGTGAGAATCAATCTACTAGTGGTTAGTAGAAACCTCTTTGTAGGTGGAGGGCTACTGACTCTCGATTCTTGATTGCATCTCGATGGCACATCTTCCAGGCCCATGTCAGGTGTTCTTCGGCCTATATTGCAAAGAATCAGTCCTGGTAATGGTCCACGAACACAACTCTTGGTAATACCTCAGTGTAATTCTCATCCAAGAAGTGGATGACTCCGACGTAGTATTCGAACGTGACTATGTGAGATTTGGGGAAAGCTTCGGGAGGGGGGGAGATCGGCCGATGAGGCTTTGATGGCACGGAGCAAGTTTTTTGTAAGGCCGACGGAGTTGATCTAAAGGGGAGAGATTAGCATTTTGCTAGCGATAGTGAGGTCGGCATTTGGTACCTTGAAATATGTCTTGAATAGGAGATTGGTCATGTTATAGATACCCCACTTGCGAGACTCTTCAAGGGGTGCTCTGGGTCTGGTCAGCATTGGAACAACTCAAGTCTCCTCATATCCTTACCTATCACTCAGGCACAAAGTGAACATCCGGTTGATTACCCGAGCAGCCTCCTCCAAATTTGCGTTCTTCTCAAAATCAGCTGCGATGTCATCCTGGAACCCAAACTCGGCAGAGCCTTGGGAAGCTGCTTCGAGATCGGCATTAATCGCAAAAGCACGCAAGTATTTCCCGACTGTGTACAAGCATGGCAATGTCCAAGCCGGGATGCCGGCAGAGCCCGAGTATCCCCGGATGAGGGCATTGGAGACCTTTTTCCAGGCATTGAAGACCGTAACGACGCTACCACCCGGAAGGCGATCTTCACACTGAAGTATTTCGCCTATAGCTTCCCAGTAAACAACAAAGATGTCAACCCAGGCAGTCTGTTCAGCCTTTGGTAATTTCAGACTTTTCCCGTGAAAGAGAGCGTAGCTGAGGTCCTTGGATATATATTCGGCGTTGGAAAACTGGTAGAAGGAGCGCAGCCGATTGCGATCGTCCGACGGCGCGATCGGTGTGAACACTGCAGCTAATTCCGGGCCGGACCCGTTGAGGTATGCGTTCTTGAACGCGGTCGCGAGAGAACCCATGGTGAACTGCCCTTTGGCGGAATAGCCTGTTGATTGAATTGATTGGGAAGTTATGAGTTCAAAAGAAGCATTCAAGGTGGGGTAAGGGTTGAGATCCGACTTGACAAAGACAAACAAGTGAGGAACGCCATACTTTTGAAGACATGTGGGGAAGGCAAGGCAATGTGGCTGGTGAAAGGTGGCTGGATGACAGTGGCGCAGTTGTATTCCTAAATGAGACTAGCGCAGAACGGAAGGCCTCCACTCGCTTAGGGCAAGGGCGGCAACCCTAAGCACAATTGGAACCTCACAATTCTCATTTTCCACCGACGGCACACTAACGACTCATCCACCACAGCGACAATCACAGTGAGTACCTCCTACTGGAATTTATCGGAGATTTATACTAACGTTGAACTCTTCCAGATGGGTGAGTGATTTTCATTCCATTCCCGATATCCCAGAACTTTTTTTTCGAGACAACGGTGCGCGCATATGGTTGGAGGAAATTCAAGACGCAAAGACCCCCACGATATCGACATGAGACAATTACAGAAGAGGAGGACGCAATGGCAAATCGATATCGCTCGGAATTGTTTATAAAGGAACGCACAACGCTGTCTGTCAAGGGCTACGGATGGTCGAATCTCGAATTTTTTTCTCAATATGCACAAATCCCCCCTGGTCTTCTCGATTTCTCGCCAACTGCATCGCGCACCGTTTTCTTTGTCGATCTGAACATCTGGGCAATTGGAATATCCACTACGAACTATGGCTGACGGATTCCCAGGGCGTCTTACTGAGTACCAGGTCATCGGGCGTCACCTGCCCAACGAGGCGAACCCCACGCCCAAGCTGTACCGCATGCGCATCTTTGCCCCCAACACTGTTGTGGCTAAGTCGCGTTTCTGGTACTTCATGTCCCAGCTCCGTAAGCTCAAGAAGGCTAACGGCGAGATCGTTTCCTTGAACGTGGTATGTTTGGATTGAATATCCGAGGATATGGAATAGTGCTCATTTTTTGGTATCTAGATCGAGGAGAAGCGCCCCATGAAGGTCAAGAACTTCGGTATCTGGATCCGCTACGACTCGCGCTCCGGTACCCACAACATGTACAAGGAGTTCCGTGAGATGAGCCGCACCGACGCTGTTGAGGCTCTCTACCAGGACATGGCTGCCCGTCACCGCTCCCGTTTCGGTTCCATCCACGTATGTCATGCTACTTGAATCCTTCGATGATGACCACATTCTAATTATATTTCCCCTACAGATCCTCAAGGTTGTCGAGATCGAGAACAACGACAGCATCCGCCGCCCTTACATCAAGCAGCTCCTCCAGAAGGACCTCAAGTTCCCTCTGCCCCACCGCGCCGGCGGCAAGGTTGGCAAGAAGGTCTTCGCTTACTCCCGCCCCTCTACCTTTGCTTAAATGTGACGTTCTGGGTGTTGGGTTTGGAGCGTGTGGATGAATGACTGTTTATGGCCATGGCATGCATGAAAGATGGTCGCGTGGAAACCACCGCCCTGTTCACGGGTGAGATGGTTGGATGTCTCTAGTCCCGTATGGTGGCATCTCTAGGTTATCTTGAAAAAATCATCGGGTTTCTTGAATTATTCGAGTTCTAGTAAGACAATGAGCATACATGGAGAGTAGGCATCATATCTAAGATACCTATTGATATCAACCTGGAAGAACGGGCTGTTATCCTTGGGCTTTCTTGCGAGTCCCTCCATTCACAACGTGATCATCGGCATGGATGTACCCGAGGTAGTCGTTACAAGTCACTTATTGCTGGTCATACATTTTCATTACGAACACATATCCATGGCTATCAATAATATCATACCAAATACTGGTCGAGGCCTGTACATTATAATTCCAATCCCGACGGAGTAAATGTCAGTTTCTCCAGCCGCACCCGAGACCGCCTTGGTGCCTTGTAAGTCAGGCATTAACAAGCTATTTTCAACTGCCATTTTAGTTACAAGTCTTTGTTTTAGCCTGTCAATAATAAGAGCTGTAGAACATCTTGACTAACTTCATTCATACAGTACCGAACGTATTGGTCTGTGCAAGTCGCAATAGTTACAGGAACTTGGTATTGCGTCATTCGAAAGTAGGTCGGGAGAGGGCTGTCCGCTTTCGTATATGTAATCCGATTTCTTCCCCAAGGCTTTCCTAGGTCCCTCGTTTCCCTCTTCCCCCATTTCCCCCAATTCATTGCAATCATGTTTGCTCGTCAATCTTTCCGTTGTGCACAGCCTTTGAAGCAGGTTAGTTGAAATAAGTCCTCGGTTCAATTCCGAACAATACTAAAAGCCATTCAATCAGAGCTTCCGCAAATACTCTGCGGACGCCGCTCCCAAGAAGTCCAACTTGACCCCCATCTACGTTGGTGTGGGTCTCGCCGGTCTTGCTGCTGGTTTGTACCGATACAACAACACTAGCGCTGTTGCTGAGCCCAAGGACCGCCCCAAGGTGTTCAACGGCGAGGACTGGGTGGACCTCAAGCTGGCTCACATTGAGACCCTGAGCCCCAACACCAAGCGTTTCCGCTTCGAGTACGATGATAAGGAGGCTGTTTCTGGCCTTCCTGTTGCATGTGAGTAGTCTGGCTCCGTGGATAGTTGCCAATCGATTGCTAACAGGCATATAGCTGCTCTGTTGACTCGTTTCAAGCCCGTGGGTGCTGAGAAGAACATTCTCCGTCCCTACACTCCCACCAGCGATGAGGGTAGGATCAAGATGAACTACGGCTTAGTTTTCATTTGCTAACACATGACAGATATTCCCGGCTACCTTGAGCTTGTCGTCAAGGCCTACCCCGGCGGCCCCATGTCTGAGCACATCCACTCCATGAACGTTAACCAGCGCCTGTCTTTCAAGGGACCTATTGTCAAGTACCCCTGGGTAGCCAACAAGCACAACCACATCTGCTTGATTGCCGGTGGTACTGGTATCACTCCGATGTACCAGCTCGCCCGTGAGATCTTCAAGAACCCCGAGGACAAGACCAAAGTCACTTTGGTCTTCGGCAACGTCACTGAGGGGGATATCCTCCTCAAGAAGGAGCTGCAGGAGTTGGAGAACACCTACCCCCAGCGCTTCCGTGCCTTCTACGTCCTGGACAAGCCCCCTGCTGAGTGGGTCGGTGGCAAGGGCTTCATCACCAAGGAGCTCCTGAAGACCGTCCTGCCAGAGCCCAAGGAGGAGAACATCAAGCTCTTCGTCTGCGGCCCTCCCCCCATGTACAAGGCTATCTCCGGTGCTAAGGTCAGCCCCAAGGACCAGGGTGAGCTTACTGGTATCTTGAAGGATCTGGGTTACAGCAAGGAGCAGGTCTTCAAGTTCTAGATTATTACAAAATATGTAACTAGAATATGTAGCTAGTTTGATATGCGGTGGGACAGCCATGTATATTGGTGCATCTTGTTTTCAGCGTGTTGCCGCATCTGACTAGCTTCGTCATTAATTGAAGAAATATATTTTGCCTCTCAATATATGATCAGGTGTATTTGTTAGTTGTACTTATCTTGGTGGCATGAAAAATGATGGATTAGATGTTAAAAAAAAAAACAAGAATAAAGCGAATCTTAGGCTTGGGCATGATGATGACGGGCAGGGCATTGGATATATATGCAGGTGGGCAAACCCACTAGGAACACGTTTGTAGAATACAATATAACCAGTGAAAATGGACCCGAATCACTATTTACATAGTAATATAGTAGTAAAATGAAAGAATCTTCACCCAAAATGTATTAAATGAGTTTATGACATGTACCCTCTACCCCCCAAACCTACATGTATGTATAAATAAAGTACCTACTGATAGCCCAAGCGACAAGAACTAGCAGTAGACAGCAGAAGTACCCTCAAACCATTGCACCGGAGAGAAAAGAGTGAAAAAGGCAGTTTTAAATTGAATTGAATTAGGAAGTCAGAACAGGCATTCGTGCTACAGGCTTGACACCTTGTGCTCAGCTGAACCCCTCTTCTACAGGGCTTGGGCGACCCTGAGGTTGAGATCTCGGCGGGGGTGGGAGCATAGCCCACACCTGGATATATTCCCCCCCCCCCCCCCCCCCCCCAAATAGAAAAGAGCAGGAAAAACAGAAAGGTAAATAGGCATGAAAAAGAACATAAAGATGGTGATTTATATAAAGGAATAAAATTATTCAATTATATATGTGATTGTTTAGCAAGTATACAAGCTTATGCCTAGGCTCATGGGTTACCGGCTCATGGGTTACCCCTCGGGGCCCCCCTAAGCCCGTCATCCAGGTTACGTATTTATTATTAACTCAACAATACAGGGAGCCTTAGAGCTCTGGAGGTCTATAATGATGTTTAATATAAATTATAGAAGGATTTAAATTATATATAAAGAAATAATATTAACACCTAAGAGAATACGGAGTAGAATAATAGACATATGCAAAGGACTCCCATTGTGTAGGTCCTGGGGTGTCGCATGACAAGGCCTTAGAGCCTAAGCCTAAAGCAGAGTTAAAAATGCCCGGGCACCTTCCGGGCGCCTGTGCTATTTAGTGGGTACTCTTCCCCCCCCCTCGGCCCTTCCACCCCCCGGTTCTCTTCCCCCTTCCCCCCGAAAATCAGGAAAATTCTCTTTTCTTCACCCCAACTCTCCTCGGCTTCAAAACAATGGCTTCCAACCAAGATGAAACGACCGTTCAGGTCAACAAAGAAGAGCTCAGACGGGCTGGCGACTTGGTATTTCCCCCTTTTTCATATTTTGTTTTTTGATTTTGCATTTTCTTTGTTTCGGTTCTTTTTTTTCTGTTTTCTTGTGTGCATCCCCACTGCGCGCCTTCTACGCGTCGCGTTCGAAGACCTATAAAGCTATATATTAAGCCGTTGAAGCTTAATATATACCATCTCATACTTCACCGTCATGTTGGCAAGCTTCATATGCAAAAAAAAGAACAATTCCCTCCTTCTCTTCGATATCTGAGGACCGTCTTGACATCACACACTTCTTGTCAACTTACGCGATGATGCCCCTCTTCGTTCCCTAACCCTATACCTATACCTATACCTATACCTTTACCTATACCCAATGATCAAGCGTAATTGTTCTTGACATAACACCACTAACAATGCCTCATAGATCGTCATGCGCCTGATGGAGGTTCAGTCTTACATTGCCGACCTGGGCAAGGCCTACCTTCAGCACGTGAACAACATCGCGGAAGGACGTGATGCTCACATTGATCTCCCCATTGGTCCCTCTGGATTTATGGGCCCGGACATTCCCTTCCGTGCCGGAAGCCCCGGTGCCAAGTCTGAGGCTGGTGGCCCCAAGAAGCGCAAGCGCGCTCCCGTCGACCCCAATGCGCCTAAGCGTGCCTTGACTCCCTACTTCCTGTTTATGCAGCACAACCGCAGCAAGATCGCCGAAGACCTTGGCAATGATGCGCGCCCCAAGGATGTCGCTGACGAGGGCACCCGCCGCTGGCAGAGCATGGAAGATACCCAGAAGGAGGTATGTATTGACAGCGAAACAGTCCCATCCTTGATATTGTCTGCATGTATTAACGTATTCGTATAGATCTGGAAGAAGATGTATGCCGCCAACTATGACCAGTATAAGCGTGACATGGCTGCCTACAAGGCTGGCAACAAGGTTGACGAGGAGCACGATCCCGCAGCCAGCCAATTGCAGCAGGACTTTGCCAGCGCCGAGCCCGAGCCAGAGGCCGAGGCTGAGGCTGAGCACGAAGAGTCCGGTGACGAGTCGACCGATTCATCTGACGAGTCGTCCCCCTCTCCCCCGAAGGAAAAGACTCCTCCTCCCAGCACCAAGCGTCGCCGTAGCGACCCCAAGGCCAAGGAGACTGTGGCTGAGACCCCTGCCAAGTCGCCTGTCAAGCGCACCCGCAAGGCCGCGGAGCCCGTGTCTACACCCGCAGTCAAGACACCCGGTGATGGCAAGCGCAGAAGCAAGAAGCGCAAGAGCGAGGTGTAAATGAGTAGACTGTGCCTTTCTGCTTTCTGCTTTCTGCTTTCTGATTTGCTTGACTCTAGGGTCAGATGAGATGGTTGTTGGTCTGGTGGACTGGATGTGTAACCCCTCCCGGTTTGCCTTTTTCATTGCTTACGGCGTTTGGGGAAAAACTGTACCTACTTAGCTTGAATTAGTGAAATGGACTGATCATGGGATGTGGTTTCTCTATAGATCCCCGTAAGTATCAGGATCCATGGCAAAGTTAGGGTTAAATAGTATTTGTATAGTTCCAAGAGATGCGGGTCCAACTTTTTTTTTTTTCTCAATCCACTAGAGCTATACAGTTATGAAGCCACTTAAGAAACTAAAGACACTAAAGAAGATTAACACCAAGAGCAGACTAGAAGATTGAACTAAATCAACTAAATCAACTAGATCCAACTAAGTCCAACCAAATCTAACTAAGCCTGTAATATCAATTTAGCAAATCATTGACTAATCCCCGTTGACCTCCGTTCCCCGACCCAATCGGCCTTCACGGTACTTATCATTGAAGTCCTTATCAAGAGAACGGTTTGGAGGTTTTGAGATACAACCCCAATCCCCACATTCCTCGCCTTTTTAACTTTCTTTAGACCTCCTTTTGAATTGTGTCTCTTACATCTTACTGATTCTTCAAAAAATTGCTCCAAAAGTTGCTTCAAAACTCGTCTCCAGATTATTCTGTACGCCAAGAAACTGGCAGGTTCATGGTTCCACCTGAACCATGCAGCTTATTCCGAAGGAGGTAAGTCGCACCTTTCCCGACATATTTCCCGAACCCAACTAACAATCCCTGTAGCTTGACAAGCTCACCATCGCTCACCTAGGCTTCTTGGCACAGCGTCGTCTAGCACGTGGAGTGCGGCTCAACCATGCAGAGGCTGTGGTATGTCTACCTTCTAAGGTTGTAGGACACGACCACTAACACGTCCACCGACAGGCCCTGATAGCCTCAGTGCTGCACGAGGTATGATAACCCCACCCAATTCTCTACAACAGCATCGGGACATGCTGTATACCCAATTGACGCAATGCGCAAACTAACACCAAAACCCCCTCGCAGCTAATTCGCGATGGCCACTACTCCGTCGCCGATCTAATGTCCATCGGTAAAACGATGCTCGGCCGTCGCCATGTCCTCCCCTCCGTCCTGGCAACCCTTGTCGAGCTTCAAGTCGAGGGTACTTTCACCTCCGGTACCTACCTGGTAACCGTGCACCACCCCATCAGTAGCGACGAGGGCGATCTCGAGCGCGCCCTGTATGGCAGTTTCCTACCCGTACCCGCGCCCGGGGCTTTCCCAGATCCCGACCCGGAGGATTTCACTCCGGAGAAGATGCCCGGCGCGGTTATTACTATGAAACAAGCGCGTGTGGAGTTGAGCCCTGGGAAGAGGCGGATTAAGCTTAAGGTTATGAGTAAAGGAGATCGGCCGATTCAGGTGTGTACATTATTTTCAATAACGAAAAAGAGAGATAGGAAGCGAGTGATGCTAATTACAGTGTCAATTACCAGGTCGGATCGCATTACCATTTCATCGAGACGAACCCCCAGCTGCACTTCGACCGCTTGCAGTCGTACGGTTTCCGCCTGGACATCCCCGCAGGTACATCGATCAGATTCGAGCCTGGCGATACGAAGACCGTCACGCTCGTCGAGATCGGTGGACACCGTGTGATTCGTGGTGGAAATTGGCTCGCGAATGGACCAGTGGATATGAGTCGTGCCGATGAGATCATGGCCAAGTTGCAGACAGCTGGGTTTGTGCATGTGCCAGAGCCACAGGCTGATAGCGCTCTTGTTTCCGGATTCTCGATGGAGCGCGAGGCGTACTCGCGCATGTTTGGTCCTACAACGGGAGATCTGGTACGGCTTGGGTTGACAGATTTGTGGATTAAGGTTGAGAATGACCTGACGAGTTACGGAGATGAATGCTCTTTCGGTGGAGGCAAGACGCTGCGCGAGGGAATGGGACAGGCGTCTGATCGGTCTCAGAGCGAGTGTGTTGACACTGTCATCACGAATGCGTTGATTATCGATTGGACTGGTATCTACAAGGCTGATATTGGTATCAAGGATGGGCTTATTGCTGGTATTGGCAAGGCTGGAAATCCGGATGTCATGGACGGCGTGCATCCTGATCTGGTAGTGGGTTCGTGTACCGATGTCATTGCTGGAGAGAACAAGATTATTACCGCTGGTGGTATCGACACGCATATCCACTTGATCTGCCCGCAGCAGGTGGAGGAAGCTCTGGCCTCGGGAATCACCACTTTCCTCGGCGGTGGCACTGGCCCGACTACTGGATCAAACGCGACGACATGTACACCTTCGCCGAATCTGCTACGCCAGATGATGCAGGCATGCGACAGCCTACCGATCAACCTGGGAATCACGGGCAAGGGCAACGACTGCGGAAAGAAGAGTTTGAGAGAGCAGGTTCTTGCGGGCGCAGCAGGCCTCAAGCTTCACGAGGACTGGGGCTCTACCCCAGCAGCAATCGACAACTGTCTCGAAATCTGCGACGAATACGACGTGCAGTGCATGATCCACACCGACACACTGAACGAATCCGGCTTCGTCGAGCAGACTATTGAAGCCTTCAAAGGCCGTACAATCCACACCTACCACACCGAAGGTGCAGGTGGTGGCCACGCCCCAGACATCATCTCTGTGGTCGAACACCCCAACGTGCTCCCCAGTAGCACCAACCCCACCCGCCCCTTCACCCTCAACACCCTCGACGAACACCTCGACATGCTCATGGTCTGCCACCATCTATCAAAGAACATTCCCGAGGACGTCGCATTCGCCGAAAGTCGCATCCGCGCTGAAACCATTGCTGCCGAAGATGTCCTCCACGACCTCGGCGCTATCAGCATGATGTCCTCCGACTCGCAGGCAATGGGCCGCTGCGGTGAAGTAGTCCTCCGCACCTGGCACACAGCCCACAAGAACAAGACCCAGCGTGGACCCCTCGGCAGTGATGCTGACACCGGCGCGGACAATTTCCGCGTGAAGCGATACATCAGCAAGTACACGATCAACCCTGCTATCGCACAAGGAATGGCGCACATGATCGGGTCCGTGGAGGTCGGCAAGATAGCCGATCTCGTGATGTGGAATCCGGCGACGTTCGGCACAAAGCCTATCTCTATTCTGAAGAGCGGAATGATTGTTACCGCAGAGATGGGAGACCCGAATGCATCGATCCCGACTGTCGAGCCGATGATTATGCGTCCCATGTTTGCTGCGCGCGTCCCGGCTACGTCTATTATGTTTGTTTCGCAGGCTTCTATTGATGCGGGCATTGTGCAGACGTATGGATTGAAGAAGCGCATTGAGGCTGTGAAGAATTGTCGCTCAGTTGGAAAGAAGGATATGAAGTTTAATGATACTATGCCGAAGATGAAGGTTGATCCGGAGAGTTATACTGTTGAGGCGGATGGGATGCTTTGTGACGCAGAGCCGGCTTCAGAGTTGCCTTTGACACAGGCATACTATATCTTCTGAGGTGTTTTGGATTACTTCTTTCTGTCTTGCATACCCCTAGCTTTTCTTTTTGGTCTTTACGCCACTCGACAGCTCGAGTTTTGGTTTCTCGTTTTTGCGTGATATTGGATTTCTACAATGTAACGAATTTTACGTTTACTTTTAAATCTACTTCTCTAAAATGATGCACATGAAGTCAATAAGCAAAATATAATGTTCTTTTCTCTTCTCAAAACCCTAGAGAAACTAACATCCCCTCAATGGAATCAATAACAATCCCATTCGTCCTCCGTCCATCAGTATTGACGAGAATATCCGCCCAGTGTACCAAAGAAGCAATAATATCATTGCACATAAGCGGCACGTTATGGCTATAAAACCCGTACGGTTTCGCCTGGACATAAGCATTGCCTCGAGCAGTAGCCGCCATAGCCACAGAGGCATCCTTAAGCCGATAAACACTACTAACAAGCTCATATAGGCTCTCAGCAACATTCTCACCAGCCCGGGGATTCGCCCTCAGAACTCTAGCCTGCATTTCTAAATCGAAGACGAACGCCGCGCGCTCACGTTTAAAAGCAGATACAGGACCGGGTCGGGTAACCATAATCGCAGAAAAGGGTACGTCGAAGCAAAAAAAAACGATATACGATATATAAACCAGTAGTAATAAACCAGTAGTAAAGGATAATCCAATTCTAGAATCTATCTAAAAACATAAGTTAGCCACAATCTGGTCAATCACCCTCGCTACAGTAATAAGGACATCAATGCAAAAATTGTCGCGCAGTCGATCCGCAAGATAAGCACACTGGCCCTTTAGTGCGGCGCAGTGCATAGGAACATCGGTCTCGTAGAAGCTGCTCTGGGGGACAAGGACGTAGGGGTGGTGGCGGCTCTCATAGGCCATCTTCATAGATAGAGACGCGACGATATCGAGGTGCTGGATAATCTGCAGCCGGAGGTTCGGGATCATGTAGGCGCAGCTGTTGAGGTCGTGGCGCAGGAAGGTCGACTGCTGCTCCAGGAGGACTACCAGGTCATCGCGCGCCTTGCGGAAGGCCGTGACACGGGCCTGGTTGATATGTGGCATGGTGACTAGAACTATATGGAAATGGAGATGTTAATGAGAACGAAAGTGCTGGAACGTACCTGGGAGCTGGGACTGAGATTCAACTACAGCTAATGCTGATGCCGAAGCGACTCGACGGAGTCGAAATAAGAGTCTAGACAAAGCCCAGGTTAGCGAGTGAACGCTCTAGATAAAGAGCGATCCGGTGCTCGGTGCCCTCGTTAGGCGTGTGGATGTGGTCGAAAAGGGTCTCGGACATCTGGCGGGTGTCACGGCCGATCTGGTCGCAGACGGCCGGGATGGCGAAGAAGAAGTGGTTGAAACCCTGGGAAGCGACGTAGTTCATATCTCCGGCGTCGGTAGTAAGAGCCTGGGAAGCCCACTTCACCTTATCGGCCTGAACCTTCAGGGAGTGGACGTTGAGAGCGATCTCGACAAGGTAGTTGCCCTCGGGCAACTGGCGCAAAGTGGCGATGTAGGAGCGGATGTTTCGTACAAGGATGTCGCGCTCGGTCCGGTACTTCTGGATAGCTCGAGCACCGCGAAAGAGCCGTCTAGCTATAGAAGGCATAGTGGATACTGGGAGGGATGAGTAGATGAATGGGATGTATCGCTTACCTGGTTAGGGTTAGTGGTGGAACTGTGGGACTGAAACTCGAAGTAGAGTAGAGTAAGCTGGTTGTGCTCTGATGCTGTGAGAAACTGTGAAGCGGATGATACCTTGAAATGCTCGAGACATTGGGACCTATTTATGCATTTGTAACTCGCTTGGTTGGAAAGACTGAAGACAAAGCTGTCATCAGGAAGAAAATAATGAAAGACATATGGGTTATTGTTGGGAATCTTTGTTCTCTTTGTTCTTGATATCTGTCAGTGGTTATGATGTTCAAAGAATTTAGTATCCAAGGCAAATATAGTTCCAAGGTAGGTAAACTTACTAAGGCTTGGTTATAATTTTAACCTTGCAAGGCCATTGTTAATTTCTTTGTTTTCTATCAAGGTAATGTTAATCATCAAATTCTGATATCGATTGTTTATTCGCCGAGCTTTGGAATTTGTCTTGACGATGTAGTCTAGTTTCGGTGTCACCTAGGGCCCTCAAGGGTGGACCAATCTTGTTGTTCGTATAGACATGCAGAGCTGATGTTCAGGGACAGAAGTGCACAGTAATTGATGTAGTGATTCGCGCATGTGAGTCTTTTTCAGACAGCGATCCATTCCTATGAAAAGAACAGAGACCCAAGATAGGACCAGCTTCAAGGTATCCAGACATATTTCCATTGGCGAAATAACAGATGACAAGGTCAAGAGCAAGATGGCAGAAAGGGGTATCATACACAGTAAAATTGAAGAACAAGATAGAAAAAAAAAAGAGGAACAGATCCATCCGCCTACTAATATGAAAAAAGATCAAGCCTATAGCTCAATTTCCTCCTCTCCATGATTATCACCCGCCGAAACAAGCGACACATCTGTCCATGCAGAGAAAGTACCTTCGCGCGCAGCCAGATAAGCAGCAATACGTGCACGACGTGAGTGACTGACTGTTTCTTCTCCTTGTGCTGGGTCTTGTAGCTCATTTTCAACGGAATTCCGGTCTGGAGAATCAAATGCTGATTCGGAGACGGAGAGAGAAAGTATGTCTGTGCGTTGACTGTCTGGTTGCTGGGTGATTGGACGAAGAGATGTAGTGCCATCGCCAGTTAAGTCAATGATTTTTGTAGACGTGCTTGGCTCAGATCTGAGTCGGAGTCCTGTGGCCGAAGGTTCTAAATCTGGATGGTCAGATATGAGCGTATCCTCTTCTTCACTTCCCTCGTCACTGGCAGGATCGAACCTGTCTTCTTTTTCTGTCGGCCATGTAGACGGGAGAGGATTGACTCGAAAGAGGTCAGGCTCTGCATGCTCTTGGAGATAGCGGTGTGCTTGACGGATTTCGTTGCGCCTAACCCTGGCTGCCTCTTCTGATTGACTCAATTGATGTAGAGAGTCCTGCTTCTGGTCATGACGATGGCTTGCATCGGCAGTATCCAGACTGAGATCTTCAATGTCACTACTGGTTTCTTGTGTAGACTGTGTGGAGAGGTCCATGTCGTATCGGGCCCTTTTTCTTGCGCGCAAATCTCCCTCGTCGTCAACATTATCAGTTATGGTCTGCCGCATGTGAGTGTCGTGCGAAAAATCGGTTCCTGAACAAAGGTGGCCGAACAGACGTCTGATGGAGACGTCTTCATTCCAGGTCTTTGGATCCACAGTGCATGGATGAATGTCTTTGGGCCGGAAGGCAGCTACGAGCTCACATAGTTCGGAGTAGGAAGAGTGTCGTGAATATGGGAATCGCTATAATGCCATCAGAGAAGATTATGGAAAGAAAACAGCAGTGTCACTTACTATCGTGTTGGGCAGATCTGGCTGGGACAATCGGCTAGAGGTATCCGATGGACCATGGCTTAGAGCGGTCACAAGATTCTTCAACGAAATTTCGCCCTCATCCTTCACGCCATATGTATCAAGCGAGAGTGCTTTCTTCCTCGATCGGAACGCATCCAGAAGGGCACCTCGCACCTGAGAAAGGGCCTGTTTGTCCTGGACATGTTTCAGACACAGCTTCTCTAATTCAGCCAGTGCAGATTCATCCGGTAGCTCGAGTTCATGTGTTTGGTATAGATCCCCAATACCACCGCCTGCGCCGACCTCGGGGATTTCCGCACCACCAGTTGTGCGATTTACGATAGGCACAATGTAGACCGCGTTATTACCGCGAGCTGCCGGGCATGAGACTCCAGGCTCACAACTGTGGATTCGGCTTGACTTGTCGTTGCTTAGGCAACCTGTTACAGCTTCGTTTCCTAGCTCAAAGCCACATAGAGCAGGGGCTTCATTAACACCCCTATTGCTTGGGGTCTGGACCAGAGACCGATAAAGTCCCATCTGGTACCGATCCACATGAACCTACGCTATATTAGCGAGTGCTGTGTTTAAGCTGCGTGATATTCATCACCTCACCTTTGTGTTCAGCGCAGCTGAGAGCGCTATCCAGGCATCCTCGTAACCGAACGTCCATGCACGGAAGTAGAATACTGTATCATCAGGATAAGCTTGGACTTTCTGCAGCAGCTCAGACAGACCTTCAGCTTTGGAAGGAAACTCCCGGAATGGATTTGTCTTGCTTGCAAAGGTAGAGTCCAGATACAACTTGTCCAGTCGTTTCTGGCCCAGAGTGTACGGTATCAAGATCGGGTGACGAACCAAGCTGCTGACCCACCATGTCTCGGCTTGAAGATGATCAGCCAGCAATCCAACCAAGACGAGACATCATCAACTCACCTCGGATGTCCCCTGTGTAGATAATTGCCTTCCCACCTCCTTCAATTAGAAACATCACAGCCCCGGTGCAATGGTTCGCATCGAACAATGTCACCTTGATGCGACGTCGGGGTGTGAGGTTGATTTCCGTGGGGGTGTTTAGTGGAATTGGGCGCTGTGGGGGATGAGCTCTGAACTCTAGTCAAAGTTTAGAATACGATACTCACCAGAAGCTTGGCAAGGTGCTTATAGTGCAGTCGGCGTGACTCCAAGATGCCTTTATTGAAGTTCATCCGATGGGGATACTTCTCAATTCGGAGGAGCAGCTGCAAATAATCAGTTTAGTGAATTTCAGTAGGATGAACATGAGTATACCTCTCGCGTGGCCGGCGAGCAGTAGATAAACGGGGCCCGAAAGGACTCGAGACCCTGTAAATGATCGCTGTGCACATGGCTGAGGAAGCAAGCTAGTGGCGCAGGCCGCTCTGGGCACTTCCGAAAGTGGTCAACTGTTTTTCTTAGCCGTATGTATGTGTTGACCTCATATGTGAGACTCACTGCGAATCTCCGGAAACTCTGGCGGATGATCAGCGTGGAAATGACATTGGAAGGTCCGATCTCACCCTCTACAATGCCATCGAAGGTCGACATGGCAACTTTGGAACTTCTAGATTCTGAGGTCAGACGGTATTCTGCATACCCAGGGGCTCAGGTGAGGATGTTCTGGACTACTGGATTGTTGGACCTGTTGATTCCCTATTTTCACGTGATATGAACATAAAACTCAAGGCCAATAAAAGTTCAAACGGGTTTCATAATTTAGAGCATTATGATTCGATGAATCATATACCTACATGTAGGTAAATATGTATGCGTCCACGTCCAAGTCCATCCAGGCAAGTTAACGGTGCATCGTGGCCATTGCCAACGCACACTTACTTAGGACTCAGCTATAAAGCCATGTAAGCCCAGGGCTGTTGTCTTCCCAAACTATTGCTTTATTTTCTTTTTTTCTCTTGTTTCTTTTTATTTTCTTCTTTTCTTTTTTTCCCCTCCTAAATGACTTCAATGGAACGCCTGTGAGACCTTCAATTCCCTAAGGGTCAAAGAGCCGAAACGTCAGCTGGGCACCTGATCGGGATTTTCTTCTCTTCTAATATTATCATATCCATTGACCTGGGTTACGAGAGCCCAGGGTGAAGAAGTATTTCTGTTATAATCTCGAGAATTTATTGTACACGTTCTCCCTAGCGTGTACCCCACTGCCAACAACTGAAAGCACTCCCCCAAAACATCCAAACATCCAAACGTCCCGGGAATTTGACAAAGGGCAAGGGGGGACACTCCAGGGCTGGATATCCGGAACTATCACATTCCAAGGAGTCTGGGACGACCTTGCCTCCTTCATTTGCTCTTTTACTTGTTTAACTCCTTCCACATCCCGAGGTCCGAATTTCACCATGCGTAGACCATCCGTGGGCCAGATCGTGTATAACGCCACGTTTCCACGACCTCGCACAAACGAACCAGGGTCGTTTGGTGCTCATATTACCCGAAACCTCGTCCCAGAAGTGCGTGTCGAAACATCCCTTTTCTACGGCTCGCTAGACTGCATCGAAGCGCAGTACCCGGGGCTGGACTACTCGTATGGACCGCATCGCATGCGACTGAGTCGATTCCCATGGCACCGAAAGCTGTTCCAGACCTTCGATGAACTCCGTCTGACAGAGGAGGAAATCTCCAATCTCTGTCGGTGGGAGGGGACCAAGTCCGCGCGTCAGCGATACGAGGCAGAAGAAGGGATCACAGTGCGGGACACCACGGCTCACTCAGTCCGACCGGCATCCCCCCAACCCGCCCCTTCAATCGAGATCCACTTCAACGACTGCGACTTCTGCGGGACAGAAGAAGAAGAAGACCAGAGTATCGAGACCCAGAGCAATGATACAGTCCGTGCGATCGATTCCCGTGCCTCCAGTTACCAGTCCGCCGAGGAGGAGCATGAAATCGAAGAGGAACTCAGCGATGAGGAAATGGAAAGTTGTGGTGTAGCCCTCAACAACCGGATCCTTGCTGCGATGGCCGCTCGCGACCAAGGCACTGATGTGCCGCTGGATGAGGACTGGGAACAATGGCTGAAGGAGGCCGGAGAGCGTGGCGGGTTCGAGATGGTGCAAGCCATTCGTGCGAACCAGCCTTTGACTCTGGTCGCCGATAACGTTCGAATCCCACGCGGTCGCGGTGCGGCTCGTGTGGTGACAAGGGCGGCCTTGTTCACAGTACCCGACAGCATTATCGCAACAAACACTGCTCTTCCATCTACATCCAATCATACTTCCGGCACGGCCCAATGACTGCATACGATTTACTCAACCATCAGACCCTTGAAATAGGGCTTCGCTATGATTTGTGTTTTTTTTTTTTTTTTTTTTTTTTTTCACGGCGCATCTGACCTCTTTCGCATTGTCTGAAGTGGACTGGCTCCTTCTTCTTGGGGTTCTCTTTGCTTTGCGTTTGCTTTGCGTTTGTTTTATCTATATCCATTGCTCTACTTACGCCTCCAGAAGAGTCTCTTGCTTACGCATAGATTTCGTTGTCTCCCGTCTCGTTTTCTCTAATACCCTGATGTTCCTGTTCCTTACCATGCGTTGTTTGACTTGTTAACTCTTTATTTGCTTTGCCGAGGATATTCATACTCAATGTCATAATCGGAGGGTTTGCAGTAAACAGCAAAAGTTATTCTAACTTATTCAGAAATATATTTATGAAATCACTTATGATCATGATCGTCCAATAGGTACTGTGGAGCTCGGGATGTAGACTGGAACTTCCTTGATATTAAACGTTATTTGAAAAAGCTAGTATCTCGAAACAAAAAGGGTGAAATCAAAAAAACTCGTCATCTTCGGCACGAACAAAATCCCATGCTATGCCATCATCTCTAGTAGTGCTGACTGCGATCTGTGTGCCCCCGTGTATTCGCATCGGCAAGAACCCACTGCCCTGTTTGACGAGGAGGACATAGCCGCCATCTGGATGTTCTCGAACACAAAACGATTCCCAGTCTCGGTGCCTCTTAGCCTCCGCGATGAATTGACCCCTGTTATTATGCCCGATAAAGGTGCCAGAAACCATGTTTTGAAACCCCATCAACATCTCGTCAGATTCGACGCACGACCAGTAAATACCACACCCACGCTCGCCCAGTTCAGAGACTAGGCGTAAGATACCTTTTTGAAGCCCAATCACGAGGCCTGTATTGGGTTCGCGTATGATGAATGTTCTACCTTTCCAAGGACAATTCCTAGAGCGGATCGTACACAGGCTCCTCGAAGGGGAACTGACGGTTGATCCACCACAAACACTACTATATGTGGGTGTATCACATCCTCCATCTTCTGTGGTAGTGGAAGACATCGTCTCTTCAATCTAGAGAGAGAATGGAGGGAGTGTTTTATTCCTTTCTTGCACACTTTAAGTACGTTCCTACAACTAAGATTAGTTTATCTTGTAGCTGTTATTTGAGAGGAGATTAGAGAGACTTGCCAAATAAAGAACTGTGTGGAAAGCAACCAAAATATGACCGCATAGGTGAAAAAAACCTACAACATAGGTGAGAGGTTCTAAAGCTGTGGATGAATATTAGAGTGCGGGGATACCTAGAAATGATAATATCATGTGATCTTGGTTTCAAGGGGGTTCCGCCAATCAAACAAACGTGATGTCCCAAGCCTAACCTAATTAGGAATAGACCTGGGAAATATTCATTTCGATAAGCTCTCCGCTCCGAGGTCCGCTCCGCAACTGATCTTCATGCCCATGAACATGAACCTCGTTTCAACTCTGTGTTTGATTGGATTTGACCGATAGGCTGCGCTGCTTCATACTTAGCTTAGTTATCACGCATTCCTCCCAACGATACAGCATATCCACGATGATAAAGGCAATCTTCTACAGTAAATTTGACACGATAGAGGGTGAGGACCTTCAATGCTATGATAAACCTTCAATTTGCTTTTTGCTGACTAGTATTATGCAGGGCCTAAAGTTGTTCATCAAGTCCCTGACGGAGCCATCGTACCTTCCCCCACCGCCCCCTCACAACCACCATTTCTCACCTTCTCCGATGTTTCCTTCTTCGTGATTCCCCGCCAGGAGCTCTGTGGAAACCTTTTGCAAGTCTGCACAAACGGATATCGTATCCTAGGCTACCCAATCTGCATGAAGTCAGTTCGGTATGACCGCAATGAGTTCATCTTCAACTTCTGCATAGTCCTCGCCGAGGAGGAAGACTTCAGCACGTATAAGAGCGTGGTGCAGAAGCTTGCAGATCTAATGCATGGTCTGGAAGAGCAAAGTGGTTTCTTGTCCCGCGATTTCTCGAAGAGTGGCGAGGGGAAGGTATACAGTCTCTGTGAAATGTTAATGGAGGACTTGAACAATTATTGCGAGTGCATGATTCCCATTGGTATGCCCATGGATCTGTTTAGCATGATGCTGCTGCTAAATATTCTACCCAGACGAATTGAACACTCTGAACATCAAGCTTTTCCCGATATATCCCTCTCCCCCAACCGTCAAGGCCTGGCAAGTGCCCCTCTTCACGTTGCGATACCAGGCCTTCATGGATGAGAACTGGGACTTGACCATGCAGAGAGTATGTAAAAGATGACACTAGCCCTATGGCTAGAAACACAATAGCTGAACCCTGCCAGATCGTACCACATATCAACGGCGTCAACAGTGTCCGCATCATCTCCATCCTAGCCGACACAGACTTCTCCCTCACCTGCCGCGCCCTCCGACATCTCCTGTACTACGGCTGCCTGTTTATCCTAGACATCTTCTCCTTCTCCTCCATCTACGCCCCAACGGCCCAATTCAGCCAAACAATAGCTTCCGACGAAGCAATGCAACTAGAATGTGCCCGCTACGTAAACCTCCGTTTCGCACCACACCCAGCAATCGGGCCAGACTCCCCTCTCCCTGCAACCCTAGCCCGAACCCCAAGCGCCAATGGCAGCACAAATGGCAGCACAGGAACGGCCCACCTCTCCAGCTCTCTCACCACAGACCCAGCACCAAGCCTCACACGCGATGAATCACGCTTCGACGCCGAAGAAATCTGGCCCCTCCTAGGCGCCGAAGAAGGCCCCTCCAATTCCACCTCCACGACATCCACAACCGCACTCCACAAACCAGCGCTTGTCGACGGTGTCGGGCTTGTCGAGCTCTATGCAGGCCTAAAACAAGGCCAGAGCGTCAAGCAATGGTACGCAGCGCACAGTCGCTCCCTAGCCAACATCGACATCCGCCGTTTCATCACCTTCGGCGTGATAAAGGGCTTTTTGTACCGCGTGCACAAATATGCCTGTGCAACGAGCCAACCTGCGCCCCCGCCGCGCGCTTCCTCGTTCACGCCAACGGCGCTCTCGTCCCGCGCGAACACGGGGACTAATACACCCTATGCGGTCTCGAGTGTCTCGGAGGACGCGCCGATCTCCGCGGTTGCGAGAGCGGAGTATAGTCGTGAGCGGGCTGGGTCGTCGATAAGTGGTGGTCGGAATGGGAATGGGAGTGGAGGGGCGCCGTCGGCATTTTGGGAGGAGGAGGATGAGGTTGTCGGGGATGATGTTCTTGGGAAGTATCTTGATGGTACGCATTGCTTTGATCAGATTTGTACGGAGTTGGAGATGAGTGAGAGGGAGTTGACGGCTAGACTGAAGAGGTATCCTTGGGAGGTGTTGATTGTTCATAGATGAGTTTTATTGGGAGGTTTCTTTTGTTTTGTTTTTTTTTTGGATTGCTGGAATTGATCGATACCCTACTTTTTATTATTTTGGCGTTGAGGTGATCGGGATTATATATATGAGGTACTAAGGCACGCACTATGGAAAATTGAAAATTGAAGATTGGAGAATTTGGTTTCATTGGAAGCTTACAGCTTAAGAATAAGAATACACGGGGATAGTCACATCTGACTAGCTAGATACATGTGGAAAATATCCAGTTTGTATCTTCAAACGGACTGCAACAGAGCCACGCCAAGGGTTAAGCATTTGATGTAATGGAACAGAGAAAGAAAAAAAGGTATCCGCTAACGCCACGCCAGTCCATCATGCATTCGTATCGTATCGTGCGGGAGAAAAATTAAAACAAGGTTGAGATGGCCAAGAGGTTGCCAAAAGACAGAAGACCGGTCGTCGAGTGATAAAGACCGGGAAGAGAGCGGATAGGGTGGAGGTTTTATTCCTCGTCCCAGTTCTCAAGCTCGGCTTTCTCGTATTCCGCCATAACTTCTGGGTCGAAAATCGATTCCCCCTCGGAGGGAATGGTAGTCTTGATGTCGTCAAAGATAGGCAGGAACGCCTCGTTCCAGCGACGACGACGGTCCATGACAATCTTGGCAGCATCTCCGACAGCAGGACGGGAAACACCCGCAGCACCAGCGACATGACTGCCGCCACCTGCGCCGCCAGGCCGGTGCTTGGGCGGAGCGCCCTTCTTGCTCTTTCCCATAGTACGGGTACGCTTGAGATAGGCCTGTTGGACCTGAGAGTCGAGATCGTCTTGGATGGTAGTAAACTCAAGCATGGCCATGTGCTCCTGGGCAATCTTCAGAATGCGAGCTTTGCGCGCATTGTTGGTGACGATTTGCTTCTTGAGCTCGCTTTGGAGTAAGCGGAGTCGCTCAGCAACTTCATCATCATAGTGAGCGTCGTAGTCTGGATTATCGTCTGCACCGAGGAAACCGATGAATCGCAGTTCGGCTTTAGCGCGTTCATCCAGTTGGGCATGATCTAGCTTTGCGACTGAAGTTTTAAAGTCGTTTGGATCTGCGTCGCGGAAGGTGGTTGCAGCAGGGAGTGGCTTGGTTTCGTTTTTGTTCTCCTTCTCCTTCTCAACAGGTGGTGGTTGATCGATTTCCATTGCGTCTCCACCTAGTCCACTCACACTACCAGTATCCCCATTTGCGGTTGGGTTGGAATCTTCGGGCAAGGTACGGTGCTCGTAACGGAGAAGAGAGCAGAGTCGGCTGAGGAGAGGTCCAACTGAGATTTCGTTGGTTTCGGCTTTATCATCAGTCAGCTGTTCAATGCTGCCGCGGCCTTGATTCAAAGGCAGCTGGTCCTTGTCATCTTGACTCGAGTCGTATGACACTCCATCCTCCTCCGCCCAAATTTGACGATAGTTTTTCTTTCCACGACGAGGCATGATGAACGGGGTAGTGCGATCACCCTGGGGCAGGTTAGCTTATGTTGGCATGAATATAGCTGCAGCTGACTTACCCTTTCCTTCAACCAGGCAATGTCCTCTTCAGTGAGGGGTCGGACGTAAGGTTCAATGTAAGTCTGGAAAGTATTCGCGCTGACTTGGTTGGAAGGTTTGGCGTTGCTGAAGTCCTTGTCAGGAGCCACACCAGCTGCCATGTGGGCCAGATCGGTCTTGGGGAAGTGGGCGACGCTGTAAATCTCTTTCTTTTCATCGTCCGTCATGCCTGGTAGCACCTCTCGGATGTCGTAAATGGTCGGGTCGTCAAACTTCAGCGGGTTCTCGCCAAAGACTTGCACATGAGGAATCGCAGGTTGGGGCTCAGGTTGGTGGGAATCGGCGCTGGTTTCAGACCCGGGGGTGCCGGGGGAGGGCCTTCGCCAGCAGTGGTTGTACCGTTGGGGGACATCATTGATGGTGGTGAAAGCGAGGAGCTTTCATCTGATATCGCATTCTTGGAGTTTTTCGATGCTGGAGAAGCCGCTTTTGATGGTTAGTGAAGGTTGAACGGTGGGGAAAGCGAAAGAAGATCAGAGTTGCGGAGATGGGTCGGTAAAAACAAAGAGTGGGAAGAAAGCGCGGAGTTGGAATCTCTTACCTCCCTCAACCTTAGTCTCAGCTCCATCCTGGCGCGCTACCTCATGTGCGCCATGATTCAATGGCCGTTCCTCCTTTCCACTTGGGCGTTCTTTACGCTTCTTCAGCTTCCCGCCCCTATGAATATCGTCGTCCTCTTCGGTTTCCCGTTTCAACTTGGAGCGATTTAGAACTTCACGATCAAGCTCCTGATCTTCCACTTCTCTGCGCTTTTGAGACATCTCGCGCATTCCAGCATTGCAAACCTCGCCCCGAACGTCGGCCATGTCGCTAAGGCCCTTCAGGTGCTCCACCAATGTCTCAAGTGTTTTCGAATCTGGAATGTTCTGCGCGGATACCAGGTCCAACACATCGGAATATTGCACACTAGCCAAGTCAATGTGTTTGGTAACATCATTCTCCAAATAGCTTTGGATGGGCAATGATGGAATAGTGGGAGCACTAGCGCTGGACGGGGTAGTATTGCGGCTATGCGACTGGCGCGCATCGCGGCCTTTGCCTTTGCCTTTGTATGCGGACGGCATGGTGTTTCTTCAGACCGCTGATCGGATGAAGGGGAAAAGAAAGGATAAAACGATCAAGACGCGGAAGACAATATCAACGAAAAGAGAGATTGGTCAATAGAATGGATCCTAGGAGATGTGGATGGGACTAGACAGACACATGCTGTCGTTGATCCCTGTGAGCGAAGAAGAATGAAAGGAGGTTGACTATCCCCCAAAGGTGTCTGATCATGGGCTAAGCAGATACAGAGCAAGAGATTCTCTCACAGATGAATTATGGCTTTCCAGAGGTGATGATGGTGGTCGCTGGCGATCGCTGGCGGTCGGCCAAGCATATACACGTGATGGCGATACCCGTATCATCACGTGCACTCTGGTTCCTGGCTGGAAATGAGGCGCAAAGTTCATCCATGGTCCTTTCTGCTTTAGTGCACATCCATTGCCGCCTTTTGCTCAGCAAAGCCGAGCACCTAAGGACATAAAGCGGCGACACCCTGATGGGGCAACCACGGTCTACCTACATATGTACCTATGTAGCTACCTATACGTACGTACATAAGTCACTGTTCTATGGGAAATCAGGAGCTATTGAGCTGAGACCTATGCGAGACCTGAAGGCTCACACATGGCCTAACGCCTAAAAATGTGGTGAAGATTGAAGGCTGATACACATCGGGATTCTGGGGACTCCAATGTCGGCTACTCCGATCACATTCTAAAGGGCGAGGCATCAGAGAGTAAGCAAGGTCTTTTATGATTTGCAAGCGTTGAATAATTACTATTTATAATACAATCTCGCTACCTAGGTAAATTCCTATGCCAAGTGTAAAAGCTTGAAAAGTTGCCTGTCGATGATCATTTCCACAAACGGTCTACCGCGAACGGCTATGCTTAACGAAGTATACGATGTAGACCATGCCCTCGGCCATTTTCACTTGCATACTCGTTCACGGAGAGATTTTCAAAATGTGAAACTCATTGTATTTTAGCCAAGACGTTTTGCCTCTTGCCTCGTGGTTGGAACCGGGCTTATTCAACATTCTTGTGACGGTCCCGATTGAATCTCGCATTTTTCCTGCTGTAGAGCTCTAATTAGCAGGATGTATGGGATGCTTCAGGATTGAGTGTCGCCTCAAACGAATTTACCTAAAACCATAGCAGTTGCCATTTTCAAACTCCGCCATATTCGACTTGTTTCCCCTATGCGCACGCCTTCCTCACTGGTCTCAACCATTTAGACCCTGAACTTGACATTTACCTTTACTATTCACCTGACTCAACATCAAGTATCATGTCAACTGCTACTATGTCTACGCGAAATGACTCTGTGGGCAAAGTGGCTACACTTTGGGCAGGTGAAGGGCAAGCATCAAATTCCACCTCGTCAGTCGAAGTAAGTATGCCTTCTTCGTTCAAAATTTGACAGCCTTTGGGGCTAATACTAACTTGCATAATTGCATAGGAGAATGTCGCCTATCGGTTTGTTCTCGATCGCCAGGTTCAAACGATATCAAGCAACAGTATTCCTGAGGATGGATTGGTATCTGGCCTCTTGTTTGTACCCAGTCTAGAGCCGCATGATCCGTGCTATGATATTACCGCTTCATCTGTGCCGTCAAATGTGACCCGATATGAAGACGTGTCAGACTTCGGGTATTCTCTCGTTGGCCTTGCTCCATGGGTATCTGGCGAATGTTCGCTATCGTTCCTCTCTGCCGCTCAAAAGGTCGGGACGCACGCTATGATATTTTTCCAGCCGTCAGATAACGAAACCAGCCTACCACCTGATTCAAATGATCCTCGCTGGGGGATCAACGATGGAGATAAATGGAAAATGGACAACAATTATCCAGTGTATGCTATTCCAGGGCCAGCTGGAATCGCATTGATCAATGATCTGTCATGGTATTCCGATGAGACACTAGACGGCGCGAGAGATAACTCGACCGAGACCGAGGAATTTGTCGTACAGGCCGATACTAGCCGATTGTTTGCCAGGATTGAAACTGGTAAGTCATAGAAATGCGTCATGATCCAAATTTATACTTACTACCACAGGGGAATACACCGCACCGGCAACTAGCGTCTGGAGTTTTGTACTTGCAATTGCAGGAACAGTGCTTATTCTCAGTATCCTCCTTATTATCGTTTATCGACTTATCCTGCGCAAGAGACGGTATCAGCTTCAGAGACGTGTTAATGCAGGTCAAGTCGACATCGAGGCCTTGGCATTGAACCAAATGACGGCCTCTCAAGAGGTGGTCAACAAAATGCCACTTTACACATACTTGGAGATTAACCCTCCAACAGAAGCAACGCTTCCACAAGATAATACATCGGCGAATCCTATTGAGCATGGTTCTGACCACAAGACCAATCCGCTGCTGTCCAACGAATACAATTATGCCCAGGATGATACAGGTATCCAGAAACCTGAAGCAGCGATGATAAAACCTGGACCGAGTGATTCTTGCAGAAGCAAGTACCGCCTGAGCTATACTCAAACAACCTGTGCTATTTGTCTCGACGA